TGTTCTACCCATTTAGTTTTGATTAGCTTTTCCAATACTTTCACTATTACACTTGTCAATGATACAGGTCTATAATTGAGGGGGTCTTCCCTGCTGCCACTTTTGTAGATTGGAACTATGTTAGCCTGTTTCCACACGTCTGCTACGATTCCTGTACACAGGGATGCCTGAAAGATCAGGTGAAGTGGAATGCTGAGTTCAGATGCACATTCTCTCAGAACCCATGGTGAAACGCCATCTGGGCCAGCTGCTTTGTTCTTCCCGAGCTCCTTTAGCATATTTTCCACTTCATCTCTAGACACCTCTATCCGCTCTATGTTGTTCTCTGGAATTCTTATTGTGTCTGGTTCTCTGAAGATTTCATTTTGTACAAACACACTTTGGAACTTTTCATTTAATGTTTCACACATTTCCTTTTCATTTTCCGTGAATCTGTTTCCCATTTTCAACCTCTGGATATTATCCTTTACCTGCAATTTGTTGTTTATGAATTTGTAGAATAGGCCCGGTTCTGTTTTACATTTATCTGCTATCCCTTTTTCAAAATTTCTTTCTGCCTCTCTCCTTACTGCTGTATAGTTGTTTCTCGCATCTTTGTATCGCTGGTATGTTTGGGGGTTTGGCCTCTTCCTATACTTCTTCCTTTGGCCTCTTGGATATTATCCTTTACCTGCAATTTGTTGTTTATGAATTTGTAGAATAGGCCCGGTTCTGTTTTACATTTATCTGCTATCCCTTTTTCAAAATTTCTTTCTGCCTCTCTCCTTACTGCTGTATAGTTGTTTCTCGTATCTTTGTATCGCTGGTATGTTTGGGGGTTTGGCCTCTTCCTATACTGATTCCATTTTTGTCTTTTGGTCTCTTGCCCTCTCACAATTTCTGTCGAACCAATCCTGTTTTCTGGCCCTGCATCTCTGTTTTGGTATAAATGTTTGTGTGCTTTCCTCGTATAGTTTTAAAAATTTGGCATACATTTCATTTACTTCCCTGCCTAGCAACAATTCTGTCCAATTACTCATTAAAAAAATTTCGAAGTTCCCCATAGTTGCCTCTCCTTAAATCGAGTTTATCAACTGTTTCAATGTCCCCATTTTCTTCTAGATGATATCTTAAAGCATATTTAATGTCTAACAGGACGTGATCACTCTTTCCCAAGGGAGGAAGGTACTGGATGTCAAAAATCTCTTCTTCTTTCCTGGTGAATACTAGATCCAGTACTGACGGTACATCTCCTTCCCTCATTCTTGTGGCTTGCTTTATGTGTTGATACAAGAATGTCTCCAGAATGAGGTTCACAAATCTGCATGTCCAAAAGTCCTCCGTTCTTGCTTCATAGGCCTCCCAGTCTATTGCTCTAAAGTTGAAGTCCTCTAGTATCAACAGTCGTGATTTATCTTTATCTGCTTGTACAATAATATCTCTCATGACCATTATGAGGCCCTCTCGTTTGTCATCCAGTTCTTCCTTTGTCCATGTGTTGCTTGCTGGTGGGCTGTAGGTATTTACAATTATCAGCTTATCATCCTGATTCCAGACCTGCAATGCCATTATGTCAATATCTCGAGGGTTTTCAAATATTAACTCTTTTACCTTCAGGTGTTTTTTCACCAGTACAGCCACTCCTCCTCCCTTCCTAGTTTTCCTGTCACGTCTCCAAACTGAGTAGCCTCTTGGGAATATGACTTCATTTATTATATTTCCTTCAAGTTTCGTTTCTGATAATGCAACAATATCTGGGACCCTAAGCTGGATTATATCTTGCAACTCCAAAGTTTTTGACCTCACTCCATCTATGTTGGTATATACAATTTTCAGGAACATGTTCCCTTTTCCTTTGCTCTTTACTCCCCCTTCCACTACTGATCTTGTTGCTTTGTTTTTATGTACCATTTCACAAGCTTTCCAGTCCCTGTCACTTTGTAAAAAAAAGAATTTCTGTCTTCTTCATTTCTATCCCCATTTAGACGTTTTGCCTCAATTAGGTTCATTTTCAGCTTTTCTCTGTCTTCCTTGGAGAGGTCTTGTCTTATTGACCAAAATTTGCCAACCTCATCACTCTGCAGTTTCCTGGCATTTCTTAGCACTTCCATCATGTTTTTCACTCCATTAAACGTCACCCTTAAGGGGCGGTTCTTTTCTTTCTCATATTTTCCTATTCTTCTAAAATCACAGACATTTTCCTTTGAGCCTTCTCCTAAACCTACTATTTTCTCTATGATTTTCATCTCTTCTGCCGCTCGGTCCACCCTAGATGAAATTTCCTTCTCTAAACATCCAAAAATGATTATGGACTTAGTTCTATCTGCAGTGTTTTGTACCAGTTTACTGTTGGTAACCAGTTCTTTCCTAATTGCTTGCCTAATTTCTGCTTCTTGTTGGTCATTTCTGGTTTTGACTTCCGAACACACTTCTTTGATAGTCTCTTTCTCTTTTACAACTTCAGCATATGTCGCTTTTATTTCTTCTTTATACTTTTCTAGTTCTTTATTCACCTCCTCTATGTGAGTTGTCAGTGAAGTTTCCAGTTGGAGATCCTTACCTAACTCTATGTTAGCCCTTAGGCTTGCTTGGAGTTGTTCACCATATGAGTCTATTTTCTTGTTTATTTCTTCAAAGTCACCACACTTCACTTTCCATGCCTCATTTTCTTTCACTAGTTCCTTGATTTGCTCCTCCTGATTTGTTACCTTGTCTGTTAATGCAGTAATAATCTTACCTTGTTGAAGCATACTCCCTTTTAGAGTGCAAAGCTCACTCCAAAGAGCTCCATTGTCCTCTTCCAATTTAAGCACTTTTTCTTCATACTTCTTTTGCATATCCTCAATTATCTCTAACCTGCCAAGAACACCTCCTTTCCTTATATCTTGTGGTGAGAATTCTTTGAAACCATCATTTGATGGTGTGTCTACATTCTCAGTGGGGGTGGTGGCGGCGGCCATCTTTGATTTTGTTCTAGACCAAAACAAACTTTTCCACTCGGCTATTTTCACTCACTTTTACTTGTTTATTGTATTTTATTTGCTTTTACTCTTCCCTGAACCTTTATGTAACCTGGGACACCACTGTAGCCCTCAACCTGTGCCCAATACTTAGGTAATTCGATATTTCCAGGAGCTTGCTGCAGTGTGACTTCTGCCTCCTCCAGCTTCACCTTCACAGGTGTACAGGTTCCTGAGCGTATTGGGCTCTATCATATCTACACTTGAAACTGTACTCATTACATCAAGTACTCATTAGGTGAGTACTTGAAACTGTGTATGGAGTCAGCCTCCACCACATTTTTTTTTTTTTTTTTTTTTTGAGATATATACAAGAGTTGTTACATTCTTGTACAGCCACTAGTACGCGTAGCGTTTCGGGCAGGTCCCTGGAATACGATCCCCGCCGCGAAGAATCGTTGTTACAACCAAGTACACATTTTACTGTTGCGTTAAACAGAGGCTACAGTTAAGGAATTGCGCCCAGTAAATCCTCCCCGGCCAGGATATGAACCCATGACATAGCGCTCGCGGAACGCCAGGCGAGTGTCTTACCACTACACCACTACACATCACTGCCTAATGCATTCCATTTGTCAACCACTCTGACACTAAAAAAGTTCTTTCTAATATCTCTGTGGCTCATTTGGGCACTCAGTTTCCACCTGTGTCCCCTAGTGCGTGTGCCCCTTGTGTTAAATAGCCTGTTTTTATCAACCCTGTCAATTCCCTTGAGAATCTCGAATGTGGTGATCATGTCCCCCCTAACTCTTCTGTCTTCCAACGAAGTGAGGTTTAATTCCCGTAGTCTCTCCTCGTAGCTCATACCTCTCAGCTCGGGTACTAGTCTGGTGGCAAACCTTTGAACCTTTTCCAGTTTAGTCTTATGCTTGACTAGATATGGACTCCATGCTGGAGCCGCATACTCCAGGATTGGTCTGACATATGTGGTATATAATATTCTGAAAGATTCCTTACACAAGTTTCTAAAGGCCGTTCTTATGTTAGCCAATCTGGCATATGCTGCTGATGTTATCCTCTTGGTATGAGCTTCAGGGGACAGGTCTGTCGTGATATCAACCCCCAGCTGGTCTTTCTCTCTGACTCTTGAAGTATTTCATCTCCCAAATGATACCTTGTATCTGGTCTCCTGCTTCCTACCCCTATCTTCATTACATTACATTTGCTTGGGTTAAACTCTAACAGCCATTTGTTCGACCATTCCTGCAGCTTGTCCAGGTCTTCTTGAAGCCTCAAGCTGTCCTCCTCTGTCTTAATCCTTCTCATAATTTTGGCGTCGTCAGCAAACATTGAGAGGAATGAGTCTATACCCTCTGGGAGATCATTTACGTATATCAGAAACAGGAAGGTCCAAGTACAGAGCCCTGTGGGACTCCACTGGTAACTTCACGCCATTCTGAGGTCTCACCCCTCACTGTAACGCTCTGCTTCCTATTGCTTTGGTACTCCCTTATCCACTGGAGCGCCCTACCAGTTACGCCTGCCTGTTTCTCCAGCTTATGCATCAACCTTTTATAGGGTACTGTGCCAAAGGCTTTCCGACAGTCCAAAAAAAACGCAGTCCGCCCATCCTTCTCTTTCTTGCTTAATCTTTGTCACCTGATCGTAGAATTCTATCAAGCCTGTAAGGCAAGATTTACCCTCCCTGTGCGTGGGGGGGGGGGGAATTTAAATTGTGGGGGTGTGAGGTGTGTGTGGGGTATGAGGTGTGTGTGGGGTGTGTGTGTGGGGTGTGTGTGTGGGGTGTGTGTGTGGGGGTGTGTGTGTGGGGGGTGTATGTGGTGTGTGTGTGTGGGGGGTGTATGTGGTGTGTGTGTGTGGGGGTGTATGTGGTGTGTGTGTGGGGTGTGTGTGAGGTGTGTGGGGGTGAGTGTGTGGGGGGGTTAGTGTGTGGGGGGGGGTGTTGTGAGGTGTGTGGGGAGTGTGGGGGGGTGAGTGTGGGGGGGGGTGTTGTGATGTGTGTGGGGAGTGTGGGGGGGTGAGTGTGGGGGGCGGAAGCAAGGGTGCGCGTGCGCAGTGCGTCACCAGCACGCTACGCTCCCGCCTCGCCGCTGTTGATCTCCCGCTCCGGCTCCTGCTGCCTCCCGCGTGTTCCTGCTGCCTTCTACTGGCCTCACTCCTCTCCTGCTGCCCTCTACTGGCTGTCTCCTGCTCCCCTCTACTGGTGTGCCTCGTGCTCCTGCCCTCTACACCAGGTGTGTCCTGCACCTCACCACGCAGGTTAGTACACTTGTGTTGTGGTGACCTTGTGGCCGCCACCCGCCGCCAGCCACACTCACAAAGCTCTCCACGCTCACCTCACCCAGCCCCTCGCCACCCTCTCTCACCCCTCACCACCCTCTCTCACCCCTCACCACCCTCTCTCACCACCCTCTCTCACCACCCTCTCTCACCCCTCACCACCCTCTCTCACCCCTCACCACCCTCTCTCACCACCCTCTCTCACCACCCTCTCTCACCACCCTCTCTCACCACCCTCTCTCACCCCTCACCACCCTCTCTCACCCCTCACCACCCTCTCTCACCCCTCACCACCCTCTCTCACCCCTCACCACCCTCTCACCCCTTCACCCTCGACCCTCACTTCACCCTAACCCCTCACCCCCCCCCCTTCTATCACTCACCCTTCACCCATTCATACACTCACCTGCCTCTCATCCATCCTCAACTACCCCTCACTTGCCCGAAACGCTATGCGTACTAGTGGCTTTAGGTATTGCATGTACTACCTCTATCTTTAAATCAAACAGAATGTTTGTACTGTAACTCTGCAACTATGTATGTACTGTTCCTAAATAAATTATTATTATTATTATTTGCTCCTAACACAAGTCTCATACTCCTCTCCCTCACCCACCCCTCATCTTCCCCTCACAACCTTCATCGACCCCTTCAACCCACAATCGCCTCTCACTCAACCACTCCTCACGACCCCTCACCCACCCTCTCCTCGTGACCCTTATGGGCTCCTTACAGGAAAATAATACACAAAATTTTTGTGACGTTGGCATGGTGAAGCCAGGAATTTTTGCAATGACGTCACAAATCATGAGTTTTCATTGAGCAATCGTCCCGGGGAGGTCGTCCCGGGGCAGTCATCCCGGGACGGCTTAATATCGGCAGTTACTTTGGTGACGTAATAGAATTGAAAAGTTGAGTATCGCAAGGAAGCTGCCTCTCCCTCACTCTATTCAACATATATACAGCTGACCTACCCCAACCCCAGCATGGAGAATACATCACATGGGCTGACGATGTCGCCCATATATGCCAACCGGGAGCATCAAATCCGCTACTAGCCGACAAGACCAAGGCAGCAATTGAACTCATAAACAACTTTGAGAAGCAATGGAAAATTAGCAACAACAAACAAAAGTTTCAGATAATACACATTGCGAAAAGAAACCCGGACCCCATTATCATTGACAACCATCCAATCCAATATGCGGAGGTAGGCAGAATACTGGGACTCATGATAAATAGAACAGGGATACAAATTCACTTAAGGGACTAACTAAACAAAGCCAAAGCAGCCTTATGAGAACTGAGGAGATTCCGAAGCCTCAGTACAAACATTCAGATCCACCTATATAAGACTAGTTTGGCCACATCTATAGTATTCCCCAGTACCACTACACACCATAAAGAAAACTAACATGCAGAAACTGCAAGAAGTGCAAAATAAGGCGCTAAGGAAAGCAGCAAAACACTGTCCACCATATGATCAGACAATCCAGGAGCTCCACGAGCTCCTGAACATACAGCGACTAAACATCAGACTGCAGCACCAAGCCATCAGGGTGTGGAACACCATCGAAATGTTGGAGGATCCAATGTTAGACAGGTTACTCCAAGATGAGACGCCCCGCTCCCACAGCTGGTTGCCCAAGTGCCGCGATTTACTAGACAAAAACCCAGCCCCACAGTACATAATTCCCAGATGAAATACTGACCAGAAATCCTTCCCCCCAATAATTGGGTAAAATTTAGTATGTATGTGTATGTGTAAAGTTGTGTATATGTATATAGGTATATATATATGTATGTGTATGTATGAATAACTCAATAAATAATAATATAAAGAGCCTTAAATAGAACATGTGTGAAAGCATCGAAGTGTGTATATATGAATGCTACACAGTATTCTTCTATAGACATCCATATATGGTGAAACACATGTGGAGAACCTCTCACACACTCAGAGAGCAAGCTTAGCTTAGCTGCCAACACCCACACATCATGTCAGCAAGGCGGACAGCCGCCCCCTGCTTTCATACCTCTCACTGTATTTCCCACTTCTAAACTTCCTATTCCTTCACCTATGCCTCTCCTTCTAATCCCCCCCCCCCAAAAAAAAAAAAAAAAAAAAAAACTTTTGCCCTCACTAACACCTCCCTCACCAAAATGGCTCCTACCAGCATAATCCTTTTGCTGTTATATAACGTGTGTTTATTGTGTAACAAGTATCTGCATGTTTTGTTCACCATAGTGAACCACTAAGTTGGTATGGTGAGTCCAAACAAGAAGAAGAGTGGGCTGCCACCTCCCTCCCGCCTTCAACACCTTATTCTCGAACATTCCTCCCTCCACAATACTGTTTGTGCTTTTATTACACAATGTATATACACACATTATATATAAGTATCTATGTGTTTTATTCACCATAACTGTACAACAAAGCTGGTATGGGGTCCAAACAGCATAGTGGTCACCATACACTGCATGACAAGTCACACACCAGTCAGCAGATGACAGCCTCACTCCCTCCCTCACCAAAATGGCTCATCCCAACATAATCCTTTTGCTGTTATTACACTATATACACATGTTATGTATAAGTATCTACATTTGGAATTTAAAACCAAAAAATCAATGCATTGACAGTGTGCTCAAAATAAGGCAAATTAGATACTGGAATTTATTTCTTGAAGCGTTAACAATAAGGTGCCTAATGTTATTTTTCAGTAATATCTCACTCTCATGTGAAAAACCTGTTTTAGAGTAAGCCTGTAGAGTGCCCTTATGAGGAATGTAGGCCTTTGTGAATGGCAACACATTCTACGCTCTACTTCTTGTGAAAACTTTTATATCCTTTACTTCAAACCAGATCTTGGGTAATGGTTAATATTAATTGTTGACAAACATTTCAGGAGTGTTGAGGATGAGCGAGTCACCAAGACGTAGTGTCAACAATGGCTCTTCACCAGTACGTGAACGCTCCAGAGATCCTTCTTTTTCCCGGTCACGGTAAGAACTGCTACTGTGATGTCCCACACTTAATGAAATGCTCTTCCTTACCCAACTGTGTAAGACTTAAAAGTATTTAAGCATTTCTGTGATGGTATATGTGAATTAAGAGAGAGACGGTAAGGGGGAGGAATTGAAGGAGGGGAGCCGAAGAATGAAGGGGAGGGGGGAGAGAAATAGAGGGTGGGGGGGGGAGAAAGGGAGGAATGGGGAGAGAGAAATAGAGGGAAGTATTGGGGGGAGAGAAATGGAGGGAGGTAGTTTGGGGATAGGAATGGAGGGAGGGGACAAATGGAGAGGGAAAGAAATGGAAGGAGTTAGGGAGGGGGGAGAGGGATGGAGGGAGGGGGAAGAGGAATGGAGGGAGTTGGGAGAGGAATGAAAAGAGGGGGAGGGAGGAGAGAGAGGAATGGAGGAGGGAGAGGAGAGAGATAGGAATGGAGGGAGGGAGGGGGAGAGGAATGGAGGGAGGGAGGAGAGAGAGAGAGAGGAATGGAGGGAGGGAGGAGAGAGAGAGGAATGGAGGGAGGAATGGAGGGAGGGAGGAGAGAGAGAGGAATGGAGGGAGGAATGGAGGGAGGGAGAGAGAGAGGAATGGAGGGAGGGAGGAGAGAGAGAGGAGAGGGAGGGAGGAGAGAGAGAGGAATGGAGGGAGGGAGGAGAGAGAGAGGAGGGAGGGAGGAGAGAGAGAGGAATGGAGGGAGGGAGGAGAGAGAGAGGAATGGAGGGAGGGAGGAGAGAGAGAGGAATGGAGGGAGGGAGGAGAGAGGAATGGAGGGAGGGAGGAGAGAGAGAGGAATGGAGGGAGGGAGGAGAGAGAGAGAGAGGGGAATGGAGGGAGGGAGGGGTTAAGAACTGAGGGAGGGAGGGGTGAGAGAGGAATGGAGGGTGGGAGAGAGGGGGGGGTAGAATATAGGTAGGGAGGAATTAGCAAATTCCTTCTTGCATCACGAAAGCTGAAAATGAGGCATTGTTAAAATATATTGTAAATTTTTAATGTTTAATATTTGAGGAGAGAGGGGGTCAAAAGAAACAGGTTCATGGGGTTAATGGACAAATTGTATTGTAGTGCTTTTGATTGTTAGTTTTCTTTTCAGTTATAATAGGATTTTGAGTAAAAAATAAATTTCTGGATTTAAAAGCATGCTGTAGTTTGATATTCATAATTTCCCCTGTTATCTTCTAACACAACAGATCGAGATCGAGATCAAGATCAGGGGAACGCCGCGAGAGTTACAAACACTCATCTCGTAGGTCTGGTTCACCGAGGTATCGCGAGGACCGGTACCGCGATGACAAGTATTCCTCTTCTCGACGTCGCTACTCTCGTTCTCCATCTTATTCCAGAAATCGACGGAACAACAGGTGTTTGTGTAATGCATGCTCCATTAATTAGTGCAAGACAAGTGTCTGTCCTTAATTTCAATAACATGCTTACCAGTTCTATTAATCTTTTTTATATATATATACTTTCAGTGGGGTCTATTTTACACATCTGCGATGCCTTCTAGTCACGTGTTGTAGTATTTCTGTGAGCAGATTTGGAACCAGTCTAAATATTTTCCATGTAAATTGTCTCTCTTGCCTGCGCTCTAGGGAATACAGATTTTAATAATTTTACACAATCCTAATAATTTAGTATTACAGTATTGAGTAGATTCTAGCGATAAAAGATCTTTGCATGCTCTCCAGATCAGCAATTTTTCCAGCTTTGAATGGGGCTGTTAGTATGCAACAGTATAGCACTAGAGAGCACTGATGTCTTAAAAAGTAACAAAGTATCATCATTGGTATGACATCTCATGTTTGGAAGGTTCTTGTTATCCAATCTGTTGTTTTTCTTGCAGTTGTGACATCAACTATATTCTGTTTTTTAAAAGTTAGGTCTTTTGACGGGATTACTCCTACATCCGCTGTAGGTCCCCAGTATGCCTGTAGAATTCCACGACTGATGTGACCTAGTAAATGGTACACTGTCAGTAATAGTAGCTTCAGGAGCCACCAGGGCTCACCAGAAATTTGCATTTCATTATAGTCAATGCAGGTTTTAATTTTTACAAATGATTGAAAGTTCACTTACAATCATCTGATTTTCTTTTCTTTTTTGTGGGAGGGGGGTTGTTGCCACATCAATAAAGTATTTTTAGAGCCATGTAGCTCATTTTTTATATTTAAGTGTTTTACATTCATTATAAATGTTATGGTTCATAGTTGGAATTAAAATTAACCTCTTTTATATAAAGATGCTCATTTTGGTCACATTAGTGTTATGTCTTGGTAAAGGAAGTGGGCATGTTATTAGTGTTGGTAAAATAATTGTTTTAAATTGTAATTGGCTTCTTCCAAGTTAAAGATTTTTCTCCAGTTTTCACTTATCACTCAAGGGTTTTGGTGTTGAGGGCAACCATGAATTTGGTAATTTTTCTGACTCTTAGGTCACGTTCAAGGTCACCTATGTCAAATCGGAGGCGGCACCATGGGAACCGAGAGGACCCCAGCCCTAGTAACTGCCTTGGCATCTTTGGGCTGAGCCTCTACACCACAGAGAGACAGGTAGGGATGGCATTTTGTTGAGTGTAGCAAAACTTTGGTCCTTCTTTATTATTGGTATTAAGAACATGCTGCAAATGTTCATATTGTACAGCAGTATTGAAACTCCTCTTCAGTTAATATAAGATAACTATTCTAAACTAAAGTGACGTCTGAAAACTATTAACCCTCAAATTGCTCGGCTAATGATGTCCTACACCCTGGTGTGCATGACAAAATGAAACCAGTTTCATTTTGGGATTCTAGTACAGGAGGTAATTGCAGATAACAATTTGAGCCAAGTTAGGGTTAAGTTATTGCCTTTTGAACTACATAAACATTGCAATCACATAAGATGACTCATTATCATGTTATTTTCACCATATTTTGAATAATATTTAAAAGGCTTACTCTGGGGCAGAAATGTAGGCATAACAAAACACACCCCACTTGGTAAGAAAATTGCAACCGGTGACCGAACAGAGAGGCAGAACTCCCTCATTTCCCAAGGAAACGAGCAAATGCAACACACCGCCGCCGTGCCACTTGTCTGCGCAGCCTTTCCCCTCTGCCTCGGCTAGTCAACCCCAGTTTGTTGGCAAGTGCGGTCTGGGACAGTCATCAACTCTGGTCTTGGTTTCCTGTCAGTGTTTTGTCTTAGTAGTGTTCTCTGCTGTTTCATAGTGTGGTGGCCAGGTGTACTTAGTGTACCAGCGTTGAATGTAATGAAACGGCCATTTTCTAGTGAGCCCCGGAGGCTCTCTGGCACCTCTCTCCAGTCGGTGATTTTCGTTTTGCTTTTGATGCTTAGCCTCTGAACTGGGGTTGAGTAGCCAGTGCAGAGGGTCTGGGACTCCCACCTCCTCCCCCTCCTGGGGAGGAGAGGGCTGCACGAACAAGCAGCGTGGCAGTGGTGTGTGACATTTTGCTTGTTTCCTTGTTTCCTTGGGAATTGAGGAGTTCTGCCTCTCTGTTCGGTCTTCGGTTGCAATTTAATTACCAAGTGGGGTGTGTTTTATTATGCCTACCTTTCTGGGTGCCTAACCCCGGTCGATGGCAAGTAAAGAATTTCTCCAAACCCATTGCTCCCTTGCCTCCAAGGGGGGCGGGCCTGGGGCCAGATTCACGGAGCAGTTATGCAAGTACTAGTACTTACAAATATGTACTTTTTCATCAATCTTTGATGGCTTTTGTTACATTTATTAAACAGTTTACAAGCATGAAAACTTCCCAATCAACTGTTGTTATTGTTATAAACAGCCTCCTGGTGCTTCGGTGCTCATTAACTGTTTAATACTTGTAAACAAAGCCGCCAAAGATTTAAGAAAAGATGTACAGGTTTGTAAGTGCTTGCGTAACTATTTCGTGAATCTGGTCCCAGATTCTGGCTCGTGGTTCTGGGTAGACTGAACTCCATTGAATAATGCCCTAGTCTAATATGTCACATATTAGTCCGATAGCACCAGGGAGCTTCAGGGAGGCTCATCCAGAAAATGGCATTTCATTACATTCAATGCTGGGTTTTTTAATAACCTGCCAAGATTTCCTCACCTGTTTGTTTCATCATTGTCTACTGACCCTTTGTCACTTCACCGTCTAATAAAATAATAAACATTTACTATATCTCTTGTTGTAATCACCCAAGTGTAATTACTAATGTGTAGTTACAGGATGAGAGCTATTTCTCGTGGTGTCCTGTCTTTCCAGTACCCTTTGTCATTTAAGGTTTTGAAACTAATGATGGTTTTGGCATCCACCACCTTTTTACTTATTCTAACCATCTGCCACTCTACAAATATGAACTTTCAAATTTTTGGGGCAGCTTTATTTACATAGCTATTTCAAGAATTCTTGCTTTATCAGTTTTTGTCGATTCCTGTCACTATTATATAGTGATCATATCACCTCTTTTTCTTCTATCTTCTTGCTTTGGCATATTTAACACCTATAGCCTCTCGTCATTACTCATGTCTTTCAGTTTTGGAAGCCAATTTGTTACGTCTTTGCAGCTTTTCCAGTTTGCTGATGTGCTTCTTGAGATATGGGCACCATACAACTGCTGCATTTCCAGTTTTGATCTCACAAAAGTTGTGAACAGTTTTTTTTAAAACTTCGCTATCCACGTATTTTAATGCGGTTCTAAAGTTGGAAAGTGTAGCATATGCTCCTCGCACAATGTTCTTTGTGCTTCTCTGGTGACCGTCCACCAGAGTGGACCGGTGTGGGTTCAGAACCACCTCAAGATTTCTTTCTTCACTAGAATTCAGTAATTCTTTTCCACTTAATCTGAAGGTTGTGCAAGCCATATTTTCAAGTTTTCCACATTCCATAACATGACATTTATATACTGTACAGCAACATGTGGCAAGTGGAATTCCACTTGCCAGATGGTGTTCATACACATACTGTCTAGGTCCTTTTAAAGAGAATGACAATCATCTAAGCCTTTTATCTTCTTTAGTAGCTTAGCATCAACAACAAACATGGTTCATATAATTCTGTATTCCTTCTGGAAGATCGTTTATGTAGACGATGAACATTATTGGTGCTAGAACTGAATCCCTGTGCTACTCCACTAGTGACACTCCTCCAGTCATATTCATTGCTTCTGATTACTGCTCTCATCTTTCTGGCAGTCAAAAGTGTTTGTATTTATGTCAGTATTCTCTGTTGATCCCTCCAGCATATCTTGAGGTTATCTTGAGATGATTTCGGGGCTTTAGTGTCCCCGCGGCCCGGTCCTCGACCAGGCCTCCACCCCCAGGAAGCAGCCCGTGACAGCTGACTAACTCCTAGGTACCTATTTACTGCTAGGTAACAGGGGCATTCAGGGTGAAAGAAACTTTGCCCATTTGTTTTGCCTCGTGCGGGGAATCGAACCCGCGCCACAGAATTACGAGTCCTGCGCGCTATCCACCAGGCTACGAGGCCCCCTTGGGGGCATGTTCCAGTTTCCAAAACAGCGCCTTGTGTGGGAATCTGTCGGAGGCCTTTCTTAGGTCCAGATAAACCAACCATCTCATTCATGTAGAATATCAGTGTTCAATCATAAAAAATGAGGAGCTTTGTTACACAGGATGTTACACTGCTTGAAAATCCATACTGTTTTGTTATATCATTTCTTTCCAGGTATTCTTTATATCCAGGTATCCACTTTATTTTAATTATTATTTCTAGTGTTTTGACTGCCACACTTGTTAATGATAAGGGTCTATAATTTAAAGGGTTTTCTTTGCTTCTGTTTTTGTAGATTGGAACTCTTTTTGCCTTTTTCCATATATCCCAAGATTTCTGTACAAGTCTAATATTGGGAGCTGTGTTGCCTATTGCAGACCACCAGTGGTGGTGATGACTTGGGTGTTGCTGGACGATCAGTAGTAACCTGTTTTAGCAGCTTTGTATACGAGTCCACCTATGTTGTGGTGAGCTGTTGTCCACATACATATTTCATTGAATTGATAAAACGATTAGTTACATTACATGGTTTGAGCTAAGTTACATGGCTGAAAAGAAATAGTTTTTACCTTACATGTTGTGTATTACAGTACATAATATAGATGTTTTTATTCTAGCTTCAGCATCTCTTTGGCAAGTATGGAGCGCTTAGCAAAGTCCAAGTCGTTCTTGATGCAAAGGTAAGTGTATGACTACTTAGTGATATTTAATACCTAAGGTACAATTCAGTGTTCAGGCTCAAATCAGTAAAATCAAATCATAAACAATTCTCATAAATGGTTGTACAATTATAATTTAGCAAGTTTACATAATTATGTGAGTATCACAATAACAGCACTGCCTGTAGACACTCGTTATACACGACAATTTGGATTTAGGTTTAGAAGTTTTATTTGTCAGTGATCTATAAAAAAAATCATTAGTTGATAGAGTGAACAGGTGTTAATTAAACAAAGAAACGTGAAGCTAACTTACAATTAGAGCGGCGAGACTTACATTGGCAAAACATACTGCATAAAATTAGAAGGATGAGAAGACAATTTGATGAATACTTAATGTAAACTAATTATAACATGAGGTTATAGAAATTTTATCATTCTTAGCATTTTACACAAACAATTTAGGGGTTAGCTGGTATAAAAATTAGCAACAACACACAATTCGTGTAATGGCGATTTGATTTCAATGTCTTAAAATGCTGGTCGGTAATCCAACTCTTTGTGACAGTAGTGCCTTAATTGCAACATTCCAGCTTGGGTGGAAATTACTGCTAAACTACAAGAGGTAGAGACTTCTTACTTGGATGTTTGTGCTTCCTGGCTAATTAATAATATCAACAGAAAAAATCTTGTTTTAGGAACCATTTATTTTTGGCGCACCACAGGAATGTCGTTAAAAAAGGTGCTCGTTGCAGGGGTTAAAGTTTTCAGTCTTGCAGAGGTCTCGGTTATGTGTCTGGATGGATGCCCCAGATTTGCCCCTCTTGATGTTTAGGGACTGTCTGCACCACCTCTTCCTTCCCTGGTGGGCCTAGGGGAAGGAAGAGATGTTTCCTACTTTGTTTTCTACAAAAGTCGAAAACAACTCTACATACATCAATTGCGGAAATAAAATGAGAGAAATTTGGATTTGCTAATTTTTTGCACAACCTACTTAGCGTTACTGTACGTAATTTTGACTCAACCCACTTAGGGTTATTGTACATGATTTTGACTCAACTCACTTAGGGTTACTGTACATGATTTTGACTCAACCCACTTAGGGTTACTGTACATGATTTTGACACAACCCACTTAGGGTTACTGTACATGATTTTGACACAACCCACTTAGGGTTATTATACATGATTTTGACACAACCCACTTAGGGTTATTGTACATGATTTTGACTCAACTCACTTAGGGTTATTGTACATGATTTTGACACAACCCACTTAGGGTTATTGTACATGATTTTGACTCAACTCACTTAGGGTTACTGTACATGATTTTGACACAACCCACTTAGGGTTATTGTACATGATTTTGACACAACCCACTTAGGGTTACTGTACATGATTTTGACACAACCCACTTAGGGTTATTGTACATTATTTTGACTCAACCCACTTAGGGTTACTGTACATGATTTTGACACAACCCACTTAGGGTTACTGTACATGATTTTGACACAACCCACTTAGGGTTATTGTACATGATTTTGACTCAACCCACTTAGGGTTACTGTACATGATTTTGACACAACCCACTTAGGGTTATTGTACATTATTTTGACTCAACCCACTTAGGGTTACTGTACATGATTTTGACACAACCCACTTAGGGTTATTGTACATTATTTTGACTCAACCCACTTAGGGTTATTGTACATTATTTTGACTCAACCCACTTAGGGTTACTGTACATGATTTTGACACAACCCACTTAGGGTTACTGTACATGATTTTGACTCAACCCACTTAGGGTTATTGTACATGATTTTGACACAACCCACTTAGGGTTACTGTACATGATTTTGACACAACCCACTTAGGGTTATTGTACATGATTTTGACACAACCCACTTAGGGTTATTGTACATTATTTTGACTCAACCCACTTAGGGTTACTGTACATGATTTTGACACAACCCACTTAGGGTTACTGTACATGATTTTGACACAACCCACTTAGGGTTACTGTACATGATTTTGACACAACCCACTTAGGGTTATTGTACATTATTTTGACACAACCCACTTAGGGTTACTGTACATGATTTTGACACAACCCACTTAGGGTTACTGTACATGATTTTGACACAACCCACTTAGGGTTACTGTACATAATTTTGACAACCCACTTAGGGTTACTGTACATGATTTTGACACAACCCACTTAGGGTTACATGATTTTGGTATAGCCCACTTAGGGTTACAGGATTTTAGCATAGCCCACTTAGGGTTACAGGATTTTTTTGTTGTAACGATGTAATTCATCATTGACCTGATTTTCCTAGGATGCTCTAATAGTGTTAGTTAATGGTGGCACCGCTTCCCGATGTTAAGTGTTAGTTTTTACAGATTTCATTCAATTTGCCCTCATTTATTATCGTGTTTTCCAATGTCTGTTTCAGACTGGCCGATCCAGGGGATTTGCATTTATCTATTTTGAGCATGTTGAAGATGCTACAGAGGCAAAGGAACAATGCACTGGGATGGAAATTGATGGTCGACGTATCCGAGTAGATTATTCTATCACGGAGCGAGCGCACACACCAACCCCAGGGATTTATATGGGCAGACCCACATAGTAAGTAAAGTCATGGTTATCCACTCTGATAAATGTAACTATTTTATATTACAGGTTTGGTGCGAGCATCTTCTCACCAAAGATGCAGTACTGTAATTAATTACTGTACTGTATTTGAATATTTTATAATTATAGTCTGTGTGGCAATTGAAATTATAGTATGTTGGTTGTGATACAAAAATTTGGGAATATGTTAACCATTCGACTTCTACAGCAAGAATTCTGATTATTGGCATGTCAGGCTTATCTGGCAGGGGGTCCTTACCATATTAGTCAAATAAGCAAGCTTATACAGTATTGTCATTCTCAGTTATTCTCCCTGTCCCTAAAGGCTGATTATATGATCTCATTCTGTTGGTTTCCTCTGTATTTGGCTGTATTTACTATTTGTGCCTGCAGAATGGAGCTAATTCGTGCTTGGACCCCACCTTTCTAACCAATATATTTTTCTGTCTACAACATATATTTCTATCACACACGCACACACATCCCCAGGGAGCAACCCATAGCAGCTGTCTAAGTCCTAGGTACCTATTTACTGCTAGGTGAACAGGAGACATCAGGGTGAAAGAAAATACCCATTTTTTTCTGCCTCAGTTGGGAATTGAACTCGTGGCCTTAGAGCTACGACCCCTTGGCACTGTCTACTGGTCCGCAAGGTAGGTGTTTTTGTGTTGCAGTATATTTCAAATTGCTGCTTGGCTGCGTTTCCACTGTGGTGAACTTAATTCTGAACCCTCTTAAGGGGACTGAGCCAGGCTTTCTCTTGTGTTTTCAGATATACAGTACAGTATTGCTTTGATATTTTGCCTTTAACCCTTAAAATTCTCCCCTCACCTTCAAGCAATAGGGGCCGGTGCCAGTCACTGTGGGAAACTACACATGTCCTGTAATATTCAGGAGTCCTAAAGAATATATGGATATCTTTTAACACTACAGACCTCTGGCAATTGTTTGCCATATTGGAAAACCTGAATTCCCCAGTTTTCTTTGACCTTAGTAAAAGTATGGGTATCGTGTCTGATCCATCACCATCCATACATACAAAGGGGCCTGACACCTGAGTAGACAGTGCTTTGGATTCATAGTCCTGAGGTTTCCGGGTTCAATCCCCGGTGGAGGCGGAAACAAATGGGTAAAGTTTCATTCACCCTGATGTGACTGTTCACCTAGCAGTAAACAAGTAACTGGGAGTTAGACAGCTGCTACGGACTGCTTCCTGGAACTTCTGGGGGGTTGTGTAACAAAAAGGAGGCCTAGTCGAGGACTGGGCCACGGGGATGCTAAGCCCTGAAATCATCTCTAGATAACCCAAAAAAGAAAATAACCATCCTCCTCCTGATCCACTGACTGACACCCCTATCTAGGAACCATTGACTTCATGTCAAATTGCAAGGATTTTTATGTACTTAGAAGATATTAGAAGACATCTATTACGAATAGTTAACATGTACATTATTTCTTAGAATATAATGTCAACATTTCTTCATGACTATGGCTAAACTAAAATTATTAGGATTTTTATTATTTTTTTCTTGACACCGAAAAGCAGTTTTATGATATAGAAACTTAAATTTTGGATGCTCTGAGGTTAAAAACCTAGGTGTGGTTGTTATGGAAAGGGATTTTTTCTGGGGGGGATGGGAGCCCCGTCGGCTTCCTGGAACTATCCAGGCTGATATGTAACTATTAGCTTTCTGGTATCAAAGTGCATGGAGTTCTTGCCTTCTGGGGACCATGAGCCAGAACCTGGCCCCCTCAGAGAGGCACAAAGAGCAATGGCCTATAGAAACACCCCCCCCCTCCCATGTAGTTACGAGCATTCTATGTCTGCAGTCGACCTGGTCTGGCACCCAGAAAGATAGGCGCCCCAAAATAAACCCCTATTCTAGTGAAAATATTGCTACCGAAGGCCGAACGAGTGGACAGAACTTCCCAAACGAAACAAGCAAGCGCAGGCGATGAGTCACAATAACGTGGCTGAAGTATGTTGACCAGACCACACACTAGAAGTTGAAGCGACGACGTTTCGGTCCGTCCTGGACCATTCTCAAGTCGTTTTGTCAACGAAACAAGCAAGATTTTTGTTCATTAAACAAAAAATACTAATTTGTTTTTATTAATTCTTTTTTAACATATCTCACCTGTTTCAGGATTTTTTTGAATAAATAATCTTCATATTGTGTGAAAATTTGTCAAAATCAGATCATAACTAACGGAGAAGTTCATGAAGACTTACAGGTGTTTTCACATTTTAATTTCCCTGCTAAAAATGCAGCATCACAAATCAACAAATTATAAAGTATATACATAATTATATATGTATATACTTTCCAATGATACTATGTGCATTTATCCCAGCATTTCTTATCCTCGGCTCAGTGGAACCCCCAAGGTAATTAGGGGGTTCCCTAAGAGATAGTGATAATTAGGCTGATTCTAATGATATGTATTGTAAATGTATTTTTGAGTAATTTTTGTGTTTCGTTTGTTTAACTAGTATCAAGAGCAAAGACAGAAATGATGTCCTTTTAGTTGTCAATGACATCCATGTGTGTGTGTGTGTCTGTTGCACAACTCAGAATTATTTCAAGGGATGGGATATAACCCCTAGTCGAGAATGGCTGATTTAACCCTTGGGCCTCACCCCAGTTTATGAGACTCTGCTTTGGTGCACAGAAAACAATCCTATATTTCATGGGGGGGTGATAAGAGTGGCTCCCTAAAGCTACTATGCTGATATAGTGCCAAACAACTAGGTGGCATCAATCGTGGATGCCTTCTGAGGGACCACAAGCCAGAACTTGGTCCCCACCCCCCTTCCCTCTAGAGAGGTGCAGGGAGCAGTGGCACGTTTGATAAAATTTCTATGAATTCATTCATATCTGCCATGAGTGTCTTGGACTGATGATGATGTGATAAGGTTGAGGGCAAGGGAACTCCAGTGTTTTTGAGATTTTGGGTGTTATAAACAAAGACATATTACAGGGAAAAATGCTCAAGTGTGTAAATATCTGCCAAACAGACAGAAGTCCCATAAAGTTACAGAAACAAAATGGAAATAGTGGATTTTGAAAGAAATTGTGTAAGAAAACATGGTAACCATAACAAAGATGACTGCCAGTAAGAGGAAGAACAAGACAGCAGAGATAAATTTTGATGGTCTTGATGATATTAGCAGATGGAAGAGATAGATATTAATACCTCACAACAGGTTGACAGAAATAGGAGGTCATTGTAAAGAATCATTTGGTTACAATTAAGAACTTGAGCAGCAGTAATGAAAACTCAGAAGCAAATTCACAGCTCTTGAAGGTCAAATTTGGGAATTATACAAATATAAGAATCACTTGGAACTAAAGGAAAAGTCTTGGAGGAGGAAAATAATGTATTGAAAAAGCTCTTGAAGTTAAATCAAATCGAGATGTGGAGGAAAGGAGAGGTTTGGCAAGGAAAAGAGAGTTTGTCAGAAAAGTTGGAGGAGGCTACACAGGATATAGGAAAGTGCAAGAAGGGTATGCAGCTAACCCATGCACAAGTGGCGAGAGAAAGTAATTTTAAAAGCAGCTAAGAAAGTGACCGAGTAACAACAGAAATTTGGAAGACCCCGTCCTACATCTTCCAGCAAAGAGCCAACACAATGTGTACTGAGGATAAACCAGCACAATCCAATGCAGTATGACCCAGGAAGCTGCCAATATTGTCCATGGGATGAATGCAAATTTGGGCTTTGAGGAAGAGCCAAAGCCAATGAGCTATGTGAAGGAAATTTCAGATGAACTATGTGAAGGGAAGACTCTTGTATGCTAACAGAGGTCTACCCCACCTGTGTACAAACAAACAAATTTGTATATTCAAATGTACCCATCAACTCGAACATTAATGCAAAGACTAGCTGAAATAATTTGTTTGAAAATTATAATGTTGTAATAATACATAAATTGTTTTTGTGCATATTACATGTTGGTTAAATAGTTGAATATGCAGTTTAGGGTTTAAACATTTAAATTTTTAAATAAACTAAATTCTTCAGTTCTGGTTATGGAAGACGTGGAGGTGGTGGTGGTGGTGGAGGCGGCGGCGGTGGCGGTGGTGGTGGTGGTGGCGGCGGTGGCGGCAGATACACTGGTGGGTATGGTAGTCGAAGGCGCTCGCAATCTCCCTATCACAGAGGCCCTCAACCACGACGGTCATATCGATCACGATCACGATCATATTCTCCACGTGAGTTAATCTTTATTTTACTTGTACCAAATGTGCTGCTCATTCTGTACACTTTTAATTTTCTCTCTTCCATCTCACTTTATCTGCACTATCCTTTTTCCTTTTATCCCCTTTATCTTAACATTTTGTTTTCTTAACGTGTTTGTGTGTATGTATGTATATGTGTGTGTGTAAGTCACAAAGAAATTAACGTGTGATGAACAACGTGACAATGTCTGATCACGAAGGAATGATTAAGACGGGAATATCTTATAATTTAGATTAGAATATCTTTTATTTAATATATAGACAGGAGTACTTTTATATTTAATAATATATCTTCAGAAGGATGGATTTACAATTCAGTGGTGTGGATCTATAGGCAGAAATTAGGTGAGGTGAGAAACAATGTCTGTAATGGGATATTAATTGTAAATTCATCCTTTTGAAGATGTATTATTAAATACGCAAGTACTTCAGGAAATTCCTGTGTTCAATCGTTTCTTTGTGGTCTGATATTGTCACATTGTTCATCACATGTTTATCTCCAAGCGATTCACACACACACATGCAAGCGCACGGGGTAGTGTGTGCAGACCCCGCAGCTGAGTGGACAGCGCTCGGGGGGGGGGGGGTCTTACTTTCTAATGGCCCATTTTCGATTCCTAGCAGAGGTGGAAATAAATGGAAATTTCTTCCACCCTAATGCTCTTGTTCACCTAGCAGTAAATAGGTACCTGGAAGTTAGACAGCTTCTACTGGCTGCTAACTAGGGGATGTGTGTGTGTGTGTGTGTGTGTGGTAGAGAGAAATATGCAGGACCAGAAAACAGAATTGGTTCAACAGAAATTGTGAGAGGGCCAGAGAGAAAAAGACGTGGCTTCAATATAGGGAGAGGCCTAACCTACAAACATACTAGCATTACAAACAAGCAAGATATAATTACACAGCAGTGAGAAGAGAAGCAGAAAGGAGCTTTGAGAAAGGTATAGTTGACAAATGTAAAACAGATCCAGGTCATTTCTATAAATTCATTAAAAGCACGGTATAGGCTATATTTCATTAAAAGCAAGTTGTTCCTTCTATAGGCGAAGAAAATGAATCACGGAACAACTTGAATCATACCCTAACTCAAGAAATACGAAGAAGGTTAAGTAGAGAAATAGAAACAATTGAACTAAAGCTACAAGAATCATACAAAATCCAAGAGACAAAAAAAGCAAAGGGCCATCAGTGAAATAGAGAAATCCAAAATATTTTTTCTCCTATGCAAAATCAAGATGAAAAACTAACTCTAGTATCGGGCCCTTGCGAAAGGGAGATGGAACTTTCACAGATGACAAGAAAGAAATGAGCGAAATACTGAGAAATCAATATGACTTTCTTCAGCAAACTGCTAAACACACTGAAGATTGATAATCCATATGAATTATGGATTGGATGTGATGCCAATATCAAATCATTTATCAGATGTCACCCTATCCCCACTGGGTTTTGAATAAGCCATAGACAGTATGCCTATGCACTCTGCACCAGGCCCTCATTCTTGGAACTTTATATTCATCAAGAACTATAAAAAATCGCTTATCACAGGCCCTGATGGAGTTTCACCCTGGGTGCTGCAAGAATGTGCAACTGAGCTGAGCATTCCACTCCAATTAATATTCCAGACACCTTGTGCACAGCAATCTTAGTAGATAAATGGAAAAAGGCAAACATGGTACCAGTTTTTAAAAAATGGTAGTCAAGAGCAGCATGTAAATTATAGACCCCGTCATTAACAACTGTGGTAGTCAGAACATTAGAAAAATAGTTATAGTTAAAATTGTTAAAAGTTAATATTAAAGTTTTCTAAAATATTTAGAAAAAATAGCCAAATGGGTTGAATACCTAGAGAGCAATAACATAATAATGGACAGACAATATGGTTTTCGAACAGGAAGATTCTGTGAACAAATCTACTTAGCTTTTATGATAGCCACAAAAAAAAAAAATACAGGAAAGAGATAGTAGGGTTGACCGTGTGTATCTGGGCCTGAAAAGGGATTTTGATAGTACTACACAAGAGGCTGGCCTTCTCCTTAACCTACTATTTTCTCTTATGATTTTCATCTCTTCTGCTGCTCTGTTCACCCTATATATTTCCTGTGTGTGTATACAAATATATATATATATATATATATATATATATATATATATATATATATATATATATATATATATATATATATATATATATATATATTAAAATATATATATATTAAAATATATATATATTAAAATATCATGCATTCATGCCAGCTTGCATACATATTGTTGGATAAAGATAAAGATGGATAAAGATGCAGTAAACTCCCACATGTTTATGATTTTACTGCTGACAAATTTAGATTTTCTCATATAATTCCAGCTGGTTTGCTTGCCCAAAAGATATTTTTGCATTAAAAAACTGATAAATAAAACTAACATGTATTGATAGGTTTGTTTAATATTATACTGTGTATGGTACCTGTTTAGTGGTGGGCCGATCTCAAGCTGTTCACCATGGCAACAGCAACCAAGCACGATCTCATCCTAGTTCATCCACCAATCACATTCAAGGCAGAGAGACAACACGATCTGGTCTTGGCCTGAAGCGGTCCATTGTCCGTTAAAATCATGTGAGCGTGCCCCTGTATTACCATACTTTTGTGTGCTTTGTTTCCATTTAAATTAATAATATGGCTATCCCTCAAAATCATAGAAGTTGAATAAGAACTTCTCCATGTGTGTCAAATTGGAAGGAAAATTAGGTAGAGGATGCATGCTGAACACCCTCTCCAAGTCATACTCTGCCTTGATTCAAGAGTGCTCACTTTGGATGTACAGTACTCTCAAAAACTGCTACTCAGAACATCAACTACATGCACCCAGCAAGGGAGAACTTATGTTGTGATTATATGAAAAGTTTTACATCATCTAATTTTGGGCAGTGAAGCATAAATATCATGCATGCTAGTGTGGTTATTGCAGATATTGTATTAGTAAAAAAGTTGTAGTACTGACTGCAATCATTCTTTACCCCAAGACCTTTTTTCTGGGTGAAGTCCCTTATTGCTCCCTGAAGCTATATTGCCGATATAATGCCAAACTACCAGGTGCCATGAGTCGTGGAGTATTTTCCTCCTACTGGGAACCACGAGCAATAGAGCAGTAACACTTAATAGACTTAAAATTGTCAGTGAATTTTAATTATGTTCATCATTGTTGGTGATGCACCCACAAAGTCAACAAAACATATCACTGCTGGTTATAAGGAAAGAATGACGCCTCAAAATCGTCACAAGAACTCTCATAACAACATAGACAAATGCTGGACCTTGTATGGGGCTCCTGGTTTGCTTTGTTTTACCATTTTCCAGCTGCCTTGTCCAGGGTTCATCGTTGCCATTTTTTGGTGTTGAGTGGGCCTCGGGTAACTCGACAGTTGCTTGAGCAGTTGTGCCAGCATGAAATGAATAAATCCACAAGGGCCGTGACAAGGATTCGAACCTACGTCCAAGAGCATCCCAGACGCTGCCTTAATCGACTGAGCTATGACATGGTATAAGAATTACAACCAGAAATTCTACTGAATTTACCGAGTGCTCTCGGGGAGCGTCTGGGATGCTCTCGGATGTAGGTTCGAATCCTTGTCACAGGCCTTGTGGATTTGTTTATTTGATACATCACGCTATTGCGATTTATGTGTGTTTGCCAGCATAGTTTTACCCTTTGGTAGGTATGGCTTTGGCTGCTGTTCTGGTATTTCAGGTTCAGTCCCTTTCACCAAAGCCACAATAATTTGGTGCGGGCCCCCCATTGGCCTTCTACCAGTTGCTGCATCGCCAGCTTCCTCTACCGGTTTTTCGGGATTCAGTTTCTGGGTGCCTTCCTCCGCCCTTGCTCTACGTCTTTACAGATGTCTCTGCTCTGGGTTGGAGCTTTGTAACTGGTGCTCACGAAGCCTGTCAAGTCAAGCCTGGCTCACAAGTCAAGCCTGGCCTCGGGCCGGGCTTGGGGAGTAGAAGAACTCCCAGAACCCCATCAACCAGGTAACCAGGAAGCTGGCCAGGGTCGTTGGGCTCTCACACTATGGTTCAAAAGTTTGTGGCATGTGCTGCAGAGAATTCAGATTCCTCCGGGCTCTGCACTCTGGCTCCAAATGGACTGTTCCTTTGTGGTTCATTGTCTCAACATGAGGAGTTCTCTTCAGTCCCTTGCCCTTTGGAAACTACTCCCTTGTCCCTTGTTTGCTTTGACTAGCTCTTCTGCTGGGTTCTCAGGGTTTAGCTCTTGGTGCTATTCACGTCTAGGGTGTGTCCAACATTCTTGCTGAGGGCATGTCCCAGTTCCTTCCTGTCTCTGGAGTGGTCTGTCGATGCTGTTTCTTTTCTTAGGCTTTGTGAAATGTATGGGTGCCTGCAGGTGAACCTATGCATCAGCGTGAAATAGGCACCTTTCTTTATGTGCAGCCATTCCCTGATAGCAAGACCCTCATGGTGGATGCCTTTCGGTTAGACTAGTTGAGATGGGAGGGTTCCTGTACCTCTTTACTCAAGCCCAGCTGTTGCTCTGGGTCCTAGCCAGGTTGGAGTCCTACCAGGGGAATGTGGTCCTTCTGGCTCCTCGGTTTCAATCACTGTTTGCTTGGTGTTTGAACCTGGGCATTTTTAAATGGCTCTGCCTCTATCAGAAGGTTGGCCTGGTGACATATTTTGCTGGTTTGACCTCAGCTCTTCACATCTGGTCTTTTTGACACGTCTTTACCGTCATCTTTACAATGAGTAAGTGGCTTCTTTGATAGGGTCCCACCTGCGTTCCTTTTCTCGGTGACAGTATGAAGTTTCGTGGCACTCCTTTCACCACTTTCTTTCTGGCATTATCCTGACAGCGACACTGTTACCATCAACATGGCAACGAGAAGTCAGACTAAAGAACTAAAGGCTAAACGGAAGATGATGCTGAAAAAGGAACGGCAGCAACAAGAATATAGCCAACAAAGAAGGAAGAACTTAAACCGATAAACAAACACTACAAGACCGGATGAAAAAGAAAGAGTAGAAGAACCATTATCATAAGATAGCTTCAGGGAGCCACTGGGGTTCGCCCAGAAATTGCTGTTTCATTACATTCAATGCTGGTTTTTCATTGTCCTGTTCACCATCTTCCTCTAATTTAGTGTAGGATGTAGTGCTACCCCTCACAGCCACCCATGGTGTACAGGTAGTTCCTCAATACTACTCATTTCCGAGTCAGAATCTCCACCTGAGGTTAGAAATTCATGGTCATTGCCCGATAACTGTTCCTCTTCATAACTAAGGAACACTGTCCAACTCGGCAATAATTTCAGCCTTGGATGGAGATGCTTACCTCTCATGTTTCTGCTCAGCATTTTGGAGCTGAATGTGTGTGTATCAGCCATGGTCGTTACAGGGAGAATGATGCCCTAGGCAGGTGCATGGACCTGCTGAGTTTTTTTTAATGGCATACATCATCTAGGGTCTGAGAAAGCTAATGACATACCCATAGAAATGGCAGGACTTTGAATATGACGTTGTACCTTAAATCATCATCAAGCTATCGGAGCCTATGGGTTAACTGCTTGAGAGCAATTAGTGCAGTGTAATGGTTAAGTTGAAAGTCATTGCTGTTGGGTAATATCTTGGTAGGCCTTAACCATACTGTGGGGTAATCTCTTGGTAAGACTTAACCATAATGTGTGGTAATATCTTTGTAAGACTTAACCATACTGTAGGGTAACATCTTGGAAAGATTTAGCCATACTGTGTGGTAATATCTTGGTAAGACAACCATACTGGGGGTAATATCCTGGTAAGACTTAACTATACTGTGAGGTAATATTCTGGAAGGATTTATCCATTCATATTGTTAGGATGTTTGTATTTATACAAATTTAGCATTTTCTGAGTTTCTTGCTCTGACAGAAAAGTTTGGAAAACATTTTGTTGGGGTGTAAAGCTCTCGCATTTGTTGAACTACCGTTGTGTATGTATATAGAAGCCGTTACCAGCATGTAATAAATATTCACATATTGGTCTTCAGAAAATAACTAAGAACCACATTCATTTTTGTTTTTCTCCAAAGAGTTTGTATATTACATTTATTCCTTTACATACCTGTCTTTCCTTGTCCCAGGTCATGGCTGGAAGGTGTTTAGAATACTGTTCCCAGGGTTCCTTTAGATCTATAGTAGTCATTTTATTTTTCATAATTGTTTTGTTCCTTTCAAAATTCATGGTGTATCTGTGTCTGGAGAATATCTTTGCATATTGACTCATTTCATTCATTTATTATGCACCTCATACCAGTCAGTCTTCATGGTGAAGACAGTAACAGTGCCACAAGAAGTTCTGTAAAAGCCAATTACTGAAAAAAAGGGAGAGGTTAGGTAGTATATTTAAATTTTGAGTGGGGTCAAACTGTCCGGATGTTCCTAATTTGTGTGAATTACCTACCAGAGCCAGTGAGCTCGTACATGTTTGCAGATAATGCAAAACTGATGACGAATGAGAAAATAGATGAAGACTGCAGGAAGTTAAAGGAGGACCTTGACAAACTCCATGGGTGGTCAAACAAATGGCTGCAGAAATTAAATCCCACCAAGTGTAAAGTAATGAAGATGGGGTAAGGGAGAAAGGAGTCCAGACAGTATAAGAATTTGAGAGGGATATAATGCACACACACACACACACACACACCGGACGCATGCACACATAGGATAACACCGGCAGTGTATAAAACTGGCAAATATAAAAAATACTTTAAGAAACCTGAATCAGGACTTCAAAGCATTCTACATCTTGACCACTTCACCACTGAGACCAATACTGGAATATGCATCACTGACATAGACTAAATCTTGTGAAGCATATAGCCAAAATTAAAAATTCAAATGTTGGCAACAAGGTTGGTGCCAGATCTAAGAGGGGTTAAGCTACAATGATTGGCTAACGGAACTAAATCTCAGATAGTGGAGAGAAGGAACGGAAGGGATTTGATTACAAAATACGAGATGCTGAGGGGAATAGCTAAAGTGGATAAGGATAGCCTATTCAGACAGAAAATAGAACAAGAGGACAAAGAAGCTGGAAAAACAAATGGGATGTCAGGAGGTACTCATACCCAGTACAGGTAGTTAGCAGTGGAATGTTATTAAAAAAGTTGTGGAAGTTGCCTCCATCCCGATTTGACAACGAATTTGAAAGTCGGAATAGTTAAATTGAAATGCAACAGGTACAAGGCTAATAGGTGGGGGCATAAAGAGCTACATCTCACTCCGGGGAGCCGGTCGGCCGAGCGAACAGCACGCTGGACTTGTGATCCTGTGGTCCTGGGTTCGATCCCAGGTGCCGGCGAGAAACAATGGGCAGAGTTTCTTTTACCCTATGCCCCTGTTACCTAGCAGTAAAATAGGTACCTGGGTGTTAGTCAGCTGTCACGAGCTGCTTCCTGGGGGTGGAGTCCAGGTCGAAGACCGGGCCGCGGGGACACTAAAAAAAAAAAAGCCCCGAAATCATCTCAAGATAACTCAAGATAACTCCATAGACATTAATAGGCAAATACACCACCCCATCTCTGCTCCCTACACCACCTACCCACTTCTGCTGCCTACACCACCACCACCTACCCACTTCTGCTGCCTACACCACCACCACCTACCCACTTCTGCTGCCTACACCACCACCACCTACCCACTTCTGCTGCCTACACCACCACCACCTACCCACTTCTGCTGCCTACACCACCACCACCTACCCACTTCTGCTGCCTACACCACCACCACCTACCCACTTCTGCTGCCTACACCACCACCACCTACCCACTTCTGCTGCCTACACCACCACCACCACCTACCCACCTCTGTTGCCTACACCACCACCACCCACCTACCCACCTCTGCTGCCTACACCACCACCTGCCTACCCACCTCTGCAACCCGTTCTCGCAAATTCGTAAAGTCATTATTGACTTATTAACTACATGCATAGGTGATATACTAAACATAATAGATACCCTTAAAAAGATTCATAGAAAACACCGACCTTACCTAACCTTGTTAGTATCTTAAGATAAGCATCTTATTGCTTCGTAATTACAATTATTACTTAACCTGTACCTATTATAGGTTAGGTAATAATTGTAATTACGAAGCAATAAGATGCTTATCTTAACATACTAAGTAGGTTAGGTAAGGTCGGTGTTTTCTATGAATCTTTTTAAGGGTATCTATTATGTTAAGTATGTCACCTATGCACATATTAAATAAGTCAATATTGACTTATTAAATTTGCGAGAACGGGTTGACCTCTGCTGCCTACACCACCACCACCCACCTACCCACCTCTGCTGCCTACACCACCACCACCACCTACCCACTTCTGCTGCCTACACCACCACCACCTACCCACTTCTGCTGGCTACACCACCACCACCACCACCTACCCACTTCAGCTGCCTACACCACCACCACCCACCTACCCACCTCTGTTGCCTACACCACCACCACCCACCTACCCCCTCTGCTGCCTACACCACCACCTACCCACCTCTGCTGCCTACACCACCACCTGCCTACCCACTTCTGCTGCCTACACCACCACTACAATTTTGACATTTATTACAGTACATTCACTCTATTCATAAGGCTCAGGAAATTCCAACTACTGTCTGTACTACTAGAGATTGTTGTAATGGTTGAGATATGCCAGCCTGTGGATGCCTTTGTTGTTGGTATTCATAAAGAATATCTAGTTGTTGCTAGTCTTGGAATGCAGTTGTCTTCGAAACTGTACCTTAGTTTCATCTTCCATTGCTCCAGTGTCTTCACTGTTTTAATTCCTTGGCTTTTTCCATGGAATAAAATACAATATCTTTATTTAAGGTGCATTTTGTATAATAGATTATACTGTAGCTGCTGTTAGTAATTTCAGAATAACACATAATTTTAAATAACATTTATTACGCCAAGTTTTATCCCTTTTCAGGTCGCTACAGCCGGTATTGAGGTGTCGGTCTCGGTTAGACTTAGCTGTTACGGAAATTTTATCCTGTTGCCAATGTGGGATAGAAATTTTAATTGCATACAAATGTGTCAGTAGCTGTAGACTTGGCCATTGGAATGCAATCCCATAAGGTTTACATATGTATGATTAAGAGGAAGTCGTTGCAAGTGTCATGCTCTCAGTTTACTAAATAAGAAATGGTGCCAACAATTTATGTTGTGTGACTTTTTATAAACTTGCCACATTTCCTATATAGGAGTAAAAGTCTCAGCTTGACTACAATCTTAGTACATAAATTACTTTGAGGCATATAATTTGTAGACCTACAACACTTAGATATACAGTATGAAGTTTTTGTGTAATGAAATAGTGGTGATTGTATCTTGTACAGATTTTCCCAAAAAAATATTTTATAGTTTTCTGTGCTTAAAGTAGTACTTGAAATGGAAGTTTTATAGTATTAATTAACTTTAGTCATTACAAAAGTTTGGTTATTGTATTTAGTTTTTGGTGATACACATGTTACGGTTTCTACACAAAAGGTGGTTCCGATGTTTTAAGATTGTGTTGGAAATAATTTGGTCCTGTGATTGTTATAACCATAACAAGTAACTGAGTTATGTTATATACCTTGACATGTTTGTAAAGTTTTTGTTTCTATTACCATATTCATATTGAGTAGTATTTGTTTTGATACTCATAATGTGAGGAGTAGTAAAGGAATTAGCGATTGTTCATATCTGGGAAAGTGTGTGTAGACTAGGCGTGCACCAGCAGGAGAACCTCGTGGAGAGCATACTTCTGCCGATGCCTTACTTCTAAGCTTGTACAAGGACAAAAATATTTGTGGTTTGCTGCATAAATAAACAGATGTTAATGCTATTTTCTTTTGTCATCCCAAGGCTTGAAGAATGGAGTATTGGTGAATATTGGAAGATAAAGAAATCTTAATGAATAAGAAGAGTAGAAGCACTGGCCGGGGGTCTTTGGGGAGCGTTGGAGAAGAACTTTTGGCGAAGAGAGAACAGGCTGGCAATATTCTTCACTCTTTTAAAGTCAACCAAGAAATGGATTGGTTACAAGCTAGAATTGAAAGATTCATGAAGCATGTGAAGATCTCAAACGTTAAGAATTTTCTGAAGCTCGAAGGGGCAGTTGGCGAAGCTTACCAAGAATTCACTCTTGATTTGAAGAAGGAGATAAGGTGGGGAAAGGGTAGCGGACAAGATAAAAAGGGAAGTAAACTTGAAGCACAATCAAAATCTGGGTCAAGACGAAGGAAGGCAAGAATTTGCTTCAGATGCACAGGGCTTAGTGTGTACTCGCATCGTCCTTGACACCCGTCTTGCTCATCCTCACGGGCGAGTGTCAATACTGCCACTGAGGTAATCATTCATCTCCATTATGTTGGACAACCTTAAATGACACCTGAATTTTTGTTTTCAATATATTTTTAATTTTTATTCCTCAAAGAATATTGATAAAAACAAGCAAAGGTTTGTCACATTGAGCTTAATTAGTAAATTCATGATAAAACACGCTCATAAGATTTAAAAAATGTTAAGTTAGATATTGCAATTGATTTGGTCAATAAGTGGGCGGGCCTTAGTTCGAAATGCTGGAGAAGGAAAAATTACGGCTTCTATTTTGAGATCACAGTCTTCATGAACGTTTTATAAAGTACAGTACAATCATTCACATTTAAACGAGCATTTAGTGGAAGTCTTCTCTTTGTGGCGTTTATTTTAATTAACACAAAAATCTTATTCCATTAAAACTCATAATAATGATTCTTCCAAATAAGGAAGCCATTTTGGAAAGAAACTAAGGATTGATGCTTGAAATTCCAGCAAAGAAAGTTGGTACTGAAGTTTAGAGTGATGATAAAACAGGTCATGTACCTTTGAAGATGATCCCAGGTGAACCATACTTGGTTCTATATTATCATTGTGTATCACAAACAAAATTACGATTTTATTTTGCTGACTTTATTTTAAAGTCTGTAAACTCAGAAATGAATTAAACTGAAATGAAAGTGGAATATTGCAGCCAGATGAACAAAACATTTTTTATTGCTAATTTATCTTTTTTTTCCAGATAATTTATCTTCATGTTCTGAAGAGGAAATTAATTCAGAAGATTTTTTTTACTGTATTGAATGTAGTGCTTCACGTCGCAAGTGGTATAAAAAGGTAGCTTGATTTGCGGGATTTGTTAGTCTAAAGCCACGAATAACAAATTAAGATTATTTTTGTAAGTTTGGTGCAAAATCTTTTTCTGTAATACGTAAAGTAAACGGGCGGTGCTAAATAGTCTTCTCGACTTGGTGCCTTCGTTCTATAATTACTGCACTTGCTTATGTTCCTGTGTAACACCGGTTCTCGTTTTATCATATAGCTTGGATTCTCATTTCTAGAGACAGAAAACCTGTTGCACTTATCTAGGTCCTCATAGGCCAACTACTAACTTTTCTCACAGTGCAACCCACAACAGATTCCCACCATAACAGGGGCCTGACGGCCAAGTGGACATCGCTCGGGATTCATAGTCTAGGGTCTGGGGATTGATCCTCGGCGGAGGCAGATACAAAACAAATCTTTCACCCTGATGCCTCTACTCACCTAGAAGTAAATAGATACCTGGGAGTTAAACAGCTGCTATGGGCTGCTTGCTGGGGGGGGGGGATCAGTTGATTGACAGTTGAGAGGCAGGCCCAAAGAGCCAGAGCTCAACCCCTGCAAGCACAACTAGGTGAGTACAATAGTACTCACTGATAAATGAGGAGAGGCTTCAGATGAAAGGTTATGTGACCAAATGTGTGTGTGTGTCACCACAAAAGCTGAACCAGGGTCCATTCATTTGCAAAACGGTGCCACTTGTAGCATAATATTTTCTCCATTTAAATTACAAAGTGCTCACTGCCCTGGGTGGTACTGCATGTTCATGCAATCACCATTACCACTACTTGTAAAACAATTGTCAAAATTAATAATGACAGTTTTTGTCAGTAGCTGCGTGTACCAGATTTTCTCTACTTGACAATGCAGAGTTCTCTACTGTCATCACCGTAGCTTGCACATCACCACCATCACACTCACCACTAGCATGATCACCCCCTATAACTAGCACCAAGAACACTAAAAATTGCAGTGTCACCTTTTTACCAGAACTGGTATCTTGCATCAAATTTGGTAGACTAAGCAACTGCGATGATGAGTGTCAGTGGTGCAGCATTGTGGAATGTTACCAGTCATTTTCCATACTCTTACTTTTGTTCATCTTCTGATGAATAATTGTGAAGTTTACTGTGTGTGATATTGGGTGTTCCTCATCAGCAAGATCTTCCAGCTCTTGCAAACTCTGCAATTTTGTAAAGTGTTAATGGTCATTCAAATATTTAGCCTACACACACACACTCAGAGCTTGATGAACGTGATGAGATGTGGTGGGCAAATATATACTGATGCCCAGAAAGGAATCTAGGGTGCGCACACATTTGTTCCTATATACAGTACACTTCATAAGTATACAGTTCCCTCCTCCTCCTCCCCCCACAACAAACAATACTGTACATAGGATATTTATAGTTATTATTTGTTTTCTACCACAGATGTGGCAATGATGTTACAATGCTAACTAGCACACACACATTTTCTTCTGTTCTCCATAAACAGGGTTTATTTTAGTCCATGTAAAAGGACTTTTTCATAACTCTATAAAAGTGTTATTTTTAATCCCTGACAAATATGAAAAAAAAAATTAGGTGAATGCCACCAATTTTGGGCCAGTAACCATTCCAAATGCATCCGCTGGAGTGGTCAAGACGGCCAGGATGGCTATAACTCGCCAACCACTGATGCTAGACATTATTTATGGCTCAACATTTGCAGAATTGTCATGTTTCTATACGTGATGAACTTTTTCTCTTAGTGCAAGAAGAGAGTTATTGGGAAAAAAAATTGGCATTCCACTGTTGGTAAAATTGGTGAAAATCACCTTCTGTCAGTGGACTATTTATCATCCATCATAACTTCATTCACCTACTATTTACCGAGTAACATTTCCTCACCTACTTATTCACATTTTGTAGAGGATTTAAATTGTAACATGACATTGGTATGCATGGCTCATTGGTTTTTATTTAACTAGAACTATTCCCAAGAGACCTGAAAACTGGTTGCTAGATGGCCAGTTCAGTAGTGTTTATCGACCCTTTAAAATCTGTATGGATGTCTAACCATCATTCCATTGACAAGTGCATATAAAAATTTACTTTTGGAGTTGCATCTTCTTATAAGTTAGAGGAATGTAATCTTTTGATAAATTGGACCGTCTCTTCTTTGAAAACCAGCAATGTGTGCTGACACGCAGTCACCAACTTAACATGCCTTTTAACAAACTGGTTGTGACATGGACGGTTGAGCTGTAACGGTTTCACTTGGCATTGCTCTATATCGAAATCAGTCAAGTGCCAAATGGCTGGAGGCTCTTGATTAATTTTTTTTTAATGAACCACACATTATGGTAACATTTTGTGGTTAGATTTAATGCTGGCATTTGGAAGTGCCATACATTGATGTTTCCTTATGCTCCAGAAGAATCTTCCTCCTCATTAACAAATTCACCTTTAAAATTTATGTGTGGAATACTGTAGTTACAGGGTATTTAACAACCGAGTTCGGAAATACACTTGAAAGCAGAATTACACCAGAGATGCCAAATTCGATGATGGGTTATCCAATGACATGTAGTATCGATGGATTCTACAACCTTATGTTAAACACCATGAATGAACAATAGGACCAACCCTCAGATATTGCAGTTCACTGTCAACTGTTCCCAAAATAATTGCCAAATGTATCCTGTAGGCATTGTATTGATCTGTATTCAGATCAACAACAACAGAATGTGGCAGCTCTCAAAACTGGTGGTTTGATTTTTGCTTGGATTGAGCAACTGGTCAATTTGACGTATCTTAAACTTTTCCCAGTTGGTTCTCTGAACGAGTGTGGGGTATTTGTGGTTACATCAAGTCACAAACACAACTTGGTGGAAGTATGTTAGTATGTAGAAGGCAAATAACGCACTGAATTGGTTTATCTAACATCCTCTTAAGCCTCAAATGCAACTATTGCATTTACTGTCATCAGGAGAAAAATAAGAAGTAATATTCACCTGGCTCCCCAGTACAGTATACAGTAGTGTTCTTCAAGTTGCACTGAGTTTAATAGTTTCCTTGAGGGGAACCCCTTGTGGCTCCATGAAGCTACTTATCGCTGATAGTGTGCCACCTACTAGGTCACAGTTTGCAGAGTTCTCTATGGCCTACTGTGATGACGAAGACAGAACAGAGGCACAGTAGGCCTTCCCAGCCACCAGAACCAGGCTGTGTTTACTTACTAAGTTGCTTTTGTACCTTTATTGAGGAATGCAGAAACAAAAAGAGTATACCTCAAACAGGATGTATTCCTTTTAGATTCAACAGCACATTCTCTCCTTAGGTTCAGCATAGCATCACAGTGCTAGGGTGTCCCGTTTGGTCAATTCCTTCGGGACTTGGAATTTCCCTGCAGGTTTGTTGGTCTTCCAGTTTGGACCCCATCATTCATACGCTCGCCTTATGCGAGTTTCAGGGCTGCTTGTTGGCCTTGTCATGTGATGCCTCCAAACTTCCTGTTGGATCGGTGATACCCCTCGGCCCTGAGTCATGTGTGGATTGCTCTTCCCACATAAGAAAGGGAGATGGAACAGAGATGAGATGACAAAGAAATGACCGAAATACTGAGGCAACAGTACAATTCCATTTTCAGTGAGATTTAATCACACTGAAGATTGATATCCCAAACGAATTCGTGAATGTGATACCAACTTCAAATCATATATTGGATGTCACCCTAACTCTACTTGATTTTGAGGTAGCCAAAGACAGTATGCCTGTGCATTCTGCACCAGGCCCTGATTCCTGGAACTCCGTATTCATCAAGAACTGTTAAAAGCTACGTTGCAGGCCCTAAAAAGAATTTGAAGGTGGAGCATAGATACTGGTGTTATCCCTGACATACTAAAAACTGCAGAAATAGCACCACTCCATAAAAGAGGGAATAATGCAGAGGCATAAACTATAGGCCAAGAGCACCACCATTCTACATCATAAAAATTTTGTCAAGATTGACAAGATTCACAAATCTCATGGAATCATAGCTGCTACATAACCCTGGACAACATGTTTGCAGAACAAAGTGCTCTTGCCTATCACAGTTGCTGGACCACTATGACTCGGATTCAGATTTTGCAAAAGCCTTCGAGAAATGTGACCATGTGGGAGCCGGTCGGCCGAGTGGACAGCACGCTGGACTTGTGATCCTGTGGTCCTGGGTTCGATCCCAGGCGCCGGCGAGAAACAATGGGCAGAGTTTCTTTCACCCTATGCCCCTGTTACCTAGCAGTAAAATAGGTACCTGAGTGTTAACTGTCACGGGCTGCTTTCTGGGGGTGGAGGCCTGGTCGAGGACCGGGCCACAGGGACACTAAAGCCCCGAAATCATCTCAAGATAACCTCAAGATATGTGTTCAAGAGGAATCACTAGGAAGATGGGTCTACAATTTCCTAAATAACAAAACCCAGTGTGTAATAGTCAACAAAATAAAATCCAAGCCATCAATTGTGATGGGCTTGGTACCCCTGGGTACTATGCTTGCTATAGTACTCTCTCATTTTCATATTGGACACAAACTATAGTACTGTATTATCCCTTGCAGATGACACTAGGGTTTTTATGAGAGTAGACAACATAGACACAGCAAAGCTCCAAACTGATGTAAATTAGGTCTTTCAGTGGGGTACAGGAAAAAAATGTGGTATTTAATGAAAATTTCCAATAAACTGCTCCTGGTCCAACCACTGACCATCCCACAGTGTGTAACCTACAAGTTTCTATTTGTTGCAAGGTAAATATACGTTACATGTAAGGAAACGTGGCCAAATCTTACCCTGGCATGGAGTCAAACTTGAGATAAAATTACGGAGCTGAAATAGGTATATATAGTCTCATCTTTATGCCCTTGTCAGACCATAAATGCATTTATGGTACATACTTGCCAAGTTTTGCCAGGTCATGAGGCTGGCATCTGTTGTACCAGCCTCGCATGACCATATGGATCCATTTGTTGTGCCAGCCTCATAAGACCATATGGATCCATCTGTTGTACCAGCCTCTTAGACCATGCAGATCTATCTATTGTACCTGTCAAGCCTCGCAAGACTATGCAGATCCACCAGTCATACCAAACCAATGAAGGTCTGCTGATATGTTACATCTACTGTACTATGAATGCCTTTGACTGGAAGCATGCGTGAAGAGGGAACAAGCCTTCACATTATGAGAATACCAGCTGGTTTATTTGGTAAGTACATTCATGCTTGCTATTTGGACTCCCTTTTGTGTAACAGCTTTGTATTAATTTGTAATAATAGTTTTTAATGAGCTTATCATTATTATCATGCTCAAAGTAAACTAAACTTTCCTTTTGTTGTTGAAATATATCACATATTCATTGTTTTATCTTCATTGATGTGCTTCTGTAGTTAGCAATACTGTTTTTCCTCGGAGCGAGTTTGGAGATGCTTGTATGTATCTTATTTAATATGAAGTATACAAGGTATCATTTATAAATATAGATTTTTTGGGGCACGCATAAGAGACAGATAGATCATAGGCTATGTTTATCCCCATGTATAAATCCTCATCTCCCAACATGCTGTGTTGGGGTGGTTTTTGAGGTGGGGTATTGGTGTCAACATGAGTAAGTGATACTTGCTCATAGTAAGTGATAGGCATACACCACATTTTTGTTGTGATTCCCAGCAAATATCTCGTACTCATTTTTGGATAATATTCTTGCATCATGGTTTCCTCTCGGGTATCCAGCACCTTCTACTAAGATTTGGAAAGTCCCACGAAGAAGCTTAGGGTTATTAAAATTATTGATGATAAATGTGATATTGTGAAGGTGGAGGGTGGGTAGTCTGACTGATTGCTCTCTAACTTAGCAAGAATTTAGATAGAACCAAAGTATCTGGTTATCTCAAGTAAATATTAACACTGTCATGAATGCAAAATCCAATTATTAAGTAATGGAGAATGTGCAAGTGTATGAAAGAATGTACAATGTGTATGAAAGAAGGCAAGGTCAGCTAATACAGTACTTGAAACTCGAAGATGCCAAAATCAACTGCAAGTCAGTCCATTCATGTACAGTACACTAAAGGATAGTTTGATTACTTCAGAGTTCCAGAAATGCCAACATCTTCAAGTTAACATGTGAGACAGCTAAGGCTTAAGAGACCTGGGGACAGCTGTTGCTCGTCAATGAGGCGAAAGCATTTATTAAAGCTGTGGGTTGCCTGCCAGAACAAGTGTTCAATTCTGACAAAAGCATACAGTATACCTAACATGACAAATTTCTCATTCATTGTCGTCACTCCAGTTCCCATTTTCACAGTGTGAGGAGACCTCAACCGGCATATAAAAGGTGAGAAATATAGTAAAAGGAGGTTATAGATAATGTTTTAAATTTTAAAATAATTCACATCTTAATCTTTAATCCCCAAGCATTTAAACATTTCCATAACATCACCATTCACATTGATTTCACTGTGAAGTTCCTCCTCTTCCATCACCATGACTACTGTTCACCATTAAGTCTTTTCTCTGACACCACTGTAAAATTTTCATCTGGTTTACTTAACTCTTTCACACACTGCTAAAAAGACTGTATCACCTGCTTATATTAAATTTGGGTAATGCATAGCAATCTGCAAACTCCATACATACCAATCACTCAAAAGTTCTCTATTAATGTGTATGTGTGTGTATATATAATTAATTTATGCCCATAAGTTCCATGTATACATTACAATCTTTCTGACATTCTTTCCTTATAAGCTGTCTTAGTATAAATGTTTGACCTTTGTAATGTTCCATTACAGAGTCACCGCTGATTAACCCTTAAACTGTGCAAAACATCATATGATGTGACATTGAAGGGGGTATAATTAAAAAAATATTTGAAATATGTATAACTATGTGAAGCCAGAATCAAATTGGTCAACAAATAAATGTCACAACTCTCAGAACTTGGGACTGATTTTTTTGGCTGATTTTTTCACAGATTTCAAACTCTATTTTCCTCGTTTCTTTAGGGTGAAGATTGTGAATCTGTTTCCCATTTTCAACCTCTGAATATTATCCATTACCTGCAATTTTTTGTTTATAAATTTATAGAATAGACCTGGTTCTGCTTTACAGTTGTCCGCAATCCCTTTTTCAAAATTTCTTTCTACCTCTCCTCACTGCTGTGTAGTTGCTTTGTGTATCTTTGTACCGCTGGTATGTTTGGGGTTTGGCCTCTTCCTATATTGATTTCATTTTTTATATCTTTTGGTGAACAAATCCACAAGGGCCGTGATGAGGGTTCGAACAGTTGGACCATAAAACACCATATCTTTTGGTCTCTGGCCCTCTCGCAATTTCTGTTGAACCAATCCTGGTTCCTTGTTCTGCATCTCTGCTTTGGTATAACTTTTTTGTGCCTTTATCATATATTTTACAAAACTTTACATTAATATCATTTACTTCCTTGCCTAGCAACAAGTCTTTTCACTTAGACTCGTTAAAAAAAAATTCTAAGGTCCCCGTAATGTCCTCTCCTGAAGTCAGGTTTTTCAACTGCTTCAACCCCCTTAATTTCTTCTAGATTATAATGCATTGCATTCTTATACCCAAAAAGACATGGTCACTTTTACCCAAGGGAGGAAGGTACTGTATATCAAATATATCTTTCTCTTTCCTGGTTAATATCAAATCTATCATGAAGGGAACATTCCCTTCCCTCATCCTCGTAGCTTGTTTAACATGTTGATACAAAGAATGTTTCCAGAATGGGGTCTACGAATCTACCGGTCCAAAAATCCTCTGTTCTAGCTTCATATGCTTCCCAGTCTATGGATTTCAAGTTGAGGTCGGCGACTACCATCAGTCATGATCTATCTTTATCCGCTTTTCCTATAATCTCCTCATTATTGTTATAGGACCTTCTTATTTATTATCCAGCTACTCCTTTGTCCATTTGTTTCTTGGCAGTGGACTATATGCATTTATGATCATTAGTTTATCATCCTGCAATTTAAAAACAATTAGTAGTCTTCATACAAATTTCATCATAATTTCATACAACTCTGCTATTATAACTTAGTTATCATGAAATGCATCAGTTTCATGTTTTAGTCTATAAGTTGCAGTTTTTGGAACAGGTTTAATTGTATCTTGCTCAACCAGAACGACAACCAGAGCGCAACTCCATAGCCTCCTGAGACCGATGGATACCTACTACTCATCTCATAAAAATACTTATTTATTATAAGATTGTATTTGCAGAATGATCCTATCAAAGTGCAGAATATGCTGGAGCATGATCAAAACAAGTTGCATTTTGGTTTGGATATGGTGGTATTTGGTGCTATATTGTCATTTACACAAATACTACAAGTTCAGTGAGGAATTTCTTCCCGCATATACCCTAAAGCCTCAAAATTATGGACTGATATTTGTGTCATTAAAATAATAGTAGTATCCTTATATATTTTTGTTGTTACTCATCAAATTTTAGTAACAATATACTATACTTAAAAGTTTTCATTTGTCACACATTGGAAAGCTGTTAAATGTGCACATGCTAATCTTTTTGTTTTATAATGCCCAGGTCTCATCTGTTGAAGTAATATGATTATTTTACAGTGAACGTTGTGTCCCCTATTCTGCCTATTATAATTTTTGTGCAGGTTTTTTTATATACTTTATATTTGCTAGACTAAAGTATTAGTAAAATAAAAGTTTTTAACCTCGGTAAATACTAAAACTTTTTAAATACTTGCTCTAAGAGTGGGATTATGTCACTTGGCATATTGCAGCACTCATATTATCTCATTATTTTGAGTGAAAAATATTTTAAATTGTCTACCAAGGCAAAGGTTTACTGAAAAAGGTTACTTTTTTCTGCATTAATACAGAGGTACGTAAATATGGAGCCACTAGTGTATTATACATATGATAAACCTAAATAAATTTAATTTTTAGCAAAGATTTTTCTGTAACCTGTATTATACTGATGATGTACCCTTTACAGCCTTTACCTGGAAGGATCGCAGTAATGTGTTTGTGTATGTCCATAATGTGTTTAACTTACCCTCAACATGAGTCCACATTGTTAGGTTTTGGAAAACCCTAACCTATGTAGTGATGGCTTTTATTATAGGTGTAATAATATTTTCTAACAAGTATTTTGGGCAATATTGATACTGCCTTATTTTCTCATAATGTCAGTTTAAAAAAGACGAATGCTCCAAAATTGTTACCTTATATTTTGGATGGCTTAATCTTCATCTTCCTCATCATAATTGACTTGAGAATGGTCCAGGACGGACCAGAATGTCGTCGCCCCTTCACCTTCTAGTGTGTGGTCTGGTCAACAAGACATTTGAATTCCGACTCCTATTAACAGGTTGAGAGCTTTCTCTTCCTATAGCACATGAAAGCTTTACCCACTAGTTTTTCTGGAACATGACCCACCACTTGGTTAACAACCAAGTACCCAATTACTATACTGGGTAAACATGGGCGAACAGTTAAGGCTTGACACCCGATCAGTCTTCCCTGGGCAGGACTCGAACCTAAACAAATAGCTTAAGAGATGCAGGGCGTGTGTTACCACTATGTCACAGACTAAATAATTAATAAGTTTGGTGCCGCCTTTTAGTAATTACCACGAGCATAGCTCATTTGCATTGCATTTAGTTTAGTTAACTATATGGTATTTTGTTACTTATTGTCTTAATAATAATTGTCAATAGGAGTAGACTATCAGTCAATAATACATTTATTTCAATTAAATAAAAATCTGAATGTGTGAATTTATTATTATACAGATTTAAAGATGAGGCCCAGGGAAGAGCAGCATCTTTGTGCAACGGCAGAGCTAACACAGATTTTTTTATTATAAATAAATTAATCAATATTAGAATTGTCTCGTTTTATTGAGGAAGTAGTGTTAATCTGCTCTGGCGATGTCGTAGTATGGCTGCGGCGAGTATCCAAAGAGTGCGAAGTCTGGTTGATAGAGTTTAACCACATCTTGGAGCAGAGAAAGAGGCACTTGGCTGAAGTAATGGTGGGTAGCCTCGCTCGTCTTGTTATACATGTCAAAGCTGTTGGAAAAAAAATGAAATATACTGTATATTGTTAAGGATTAGTCTTAACCAAAAAGAAATCACATTAACATTATGTATCAATGAGAAAATCAGTAAAAGCCATGATAAGGATTTGAACTTGCATTATGGGTTCTCCCAAGCATAACCAACTCTGCCAGGAAATGCTCAAAAGCAATGCAACCTGGGATTCGATTGAATCCTCGATGGGATACCCAGTTAGGGTTTCACGCATTGCATGCACTCTGGCTGTGGTATAGGAGTTTTACCTGCGACGATTCTCTTAAAATGCACAAAAAATAACATTAATGTGATGTAGTTAGATCAAGTTACGCTGGGTGAGACAGGTGAATGTGCATTTGTACATGTTACTTTTTATTTTTATGTAAGTGATTTTATGAGAATATTAGTAAGTGTACTTATCTAATTGTGCTTGCGGGGGTTGAGCTCTGGCTCTTTGGTCCCACCTCTCAACTGTCAATCAATTGATGTACAGATTCCTGAGCCTACTGGGCTCTTGTCATATCTACATTTAAAACTGTGTATGGAGTCATCCTCCACCACATCACTTCCTAGTGCATTCTATTTACTAACTACTCTGACACTGAAAAAGTTCTTTCTAATGTGTCTGTGGCTCATTTGGGTACTCAGCTTCCACCTGAGTCCCCTTGTGCGTGTGCCTCCCGTGTTAAATAATCCATCCTTGTCCACCCTGAGAATTTACCATAAATTTTCTGACCATAAATGGTCAGAAAACTGGCAAATGCTTTTTAATATCGAAAATGCAAGACCTTGCATGTGGGGCATAACTCACGTTACAACTTTCAAATTAACAACATTATCTTGATGAAGAAAAGGATAGAGTCCACTATATACTATCCATGTACAGTATTTAAAAGCAATTCTGAAATTGGAAAGCATAGCATAGGCTCCTCGTACAATACTCTTTATATAGTCCTCGGGTGATAGTTTTCAATCTTCAACCCCCACTCTAGATCTTTATCATAATTTTTTTAAAGCATTTTTACATAATTTGTAGGTTGTGTGTGGTCTATTTTCTCTTGTTCCACATTCTATAACAAGACATGTATTCACATTAAATTTCATTTGCCAAGTGATGTTCCATACACTTATTTTGTCCAGGTCTTCTTGAAGCATATGACAATCATATAAATTTCTTATCTTCCCCTAGTATTTTAGTATGCCATCAGCAAACATAAATTGCCATCCATACTTCCGTGGAAATAAACTTTTTAAGACAGCTCATAGCCTAGTTGATAGTGCTACAGCCTCACACGTGTGGGGGGTCAGCGGTTCGAGACCCATACAGTCTAGGTTAATGGAATCAGCAAACATGTTCATATAATTTTGTATTTCTTCTCGTAGGTTGTTTATGTAGACGATGAACATACTGTTTACACGTAAGTTCTTGCACTTACTGGTGCAAGAACTGAACTCTGTGGTACTTCACTTGGGACATTTCTTCAGTCTAATACATTTCTTCTGATTACTGCCCTCATTTTGCTATAGGTTAGAAAATTTTTCATCCATGTTAGAAGCCTCTCTGTCACTCATCCAGTGTGTCACTCCATCTCTGCCAACTGCTTTATTCCTACTTAGCTCCTTGAGCATTTTTTTCCACTTCATCTCTATACACCTCTGTGCTCTGTTGTTCTCTGGAATTCTTTGTGTTTGGTTCTTGCCCTCTAGAAATTTCTGTTGAACCAGTCCTGATTCCTTGTTCTGCATCACTGTTTTGGTATCATTTTTGTTGTGACTATAATCATATACTTCACAAAAGTTGACATACATCTCATTTACTTTGTTTCTTAACAGCAAGTCTTTCCAATCAAATTCTTAAAGAAGCGGTGAGGGGTGGAGAGTAGTGAGTGGTGAGGGAGGTTGGAGACAGGAGAGATGTTGGGGAAGAAAGCCAAAGAGAGAAGATAAGTGAAAAAAGACGAGAGAGGGGCAGATTAGTTGAGGGAGAGGGGGGGGGAAGGAGACCTGGTCACTATCGGGTACCCCATCCAATTAATTATATAACAATTTTGATTTACATGCATATAATGCAAAATATTGCTGTTAATTGACTCCTGCTTAAACACATTATATACAACTTATTAACTTCATTGTATTTTTTAAAGTGCTCTGTTAACTGCATCTGATTAAGAATACAGATACAGACTGTACAACTGTTATATGCAGTGTGTGAAATACTAAACTGGCAATAAGCAAGAGACTAACTTTGAGGCGTGAGTGTGCATGTTGATGAGTCCCCGGAGGCCCAGGTGTTGGATGAGGTACTCCTGGTCCCTGGTGAATGTCTCCACCTGGGCGATGAGGTCGTAGTGCAGTTGACACGGAGCACACGCCTGCCAGTATGGTCTCCAGTGCATGTTTACTGGCGGCTTCCCGTTGTTGTCCCTGCAACACAGTTCACTGTCACCACCTTTGCTGCCTCTTTCTCTTTCACCTTAATAACCTTAATATTAGTAATATCTTACTAATGCTTTTGGCTCTGTGAACAGGCATGGCAATTGACAGGGTAGATAAAGACGGATAAATTAACACTTGCACAAGGGAGCACAGGTGGAAGCTGAGTACCCAAATGAGCTACAGTCATTAGAAATAATTTTTTGTGTCAGAGTAGTTACTAAACGGAATGCACTAGATAATGACGTGGTGGAAGCAGACTCCATACATATACACAAATGTAGATATAAGATACCAATGGGTTCGGGAACCTGTACACCAGTTCATTGGCAGTTCATAGGAGTTGAGAGGAAAGACTATACTGTATATATTTCCCCCAAATAAAAGGTATTCAGGTCAAGTTTTTCTTAAACATCTATAACTGGTAAGTACAGTATGACATAAACAATCGCAATCGTTCTCTCCCTACACCACCATTTTACGATTAGTGCACCACCACCAGTTCACCTGTAATTCACTACCAGGCCCCACTTGTTTCTAAGTGCACGTGTAGAAGAGGTCAGTGTGGGAATCTACACCAGTCTCACCACAGGTAGAAGAAGGCAGATAACTAACCATGCGTTCTGAGCATCGTCTTTGACCTTCATGAGAAATTGTGAGAAGGAAGGAAAGACGTGATCCTTCTTGTGTGCTTGTGACCCACTGCTGATCTTGGAGTCCTTCCTAGCTGGGTTGGGGTCCAGATACTTTGTGGATATCGCCCGCTGGAGCTTCTCGTGGGGTCCGTTGTAGGACCTGAACCTCAGCATTTTGTCTCTGTTGGCATATTCATACGTTTAATATTTTAATTCATATTTTTACTTCCCACTAAAAGGATATTAAAAAGTGCTCGAGACATAACATTCTCGCCAGCGTCAGAGAATGTTATGTGAGCAACACTGGACACAGTTTTTGCAAGGCATCAATCATGCAACATCCTCATCCCAAATACAGAATAAAATAAAACATTTTTCGCATCCTAGCAGTCGTCAACTTGCTCACCACTCATCAGCAGGCTACGCCGACATATTGCTCCAACAATGTGCAAGCGTTGCCAATATAAGAAGCCTATCCCTGCATTTACAACACTATCTCATTAGTACAAATATATATCGTAACTTCAATATTGAAATTGCTTGTAGTTAAATAGCTCCAGATAATACTATTACATGAAGTGTGATTTTTTACTCTTTCAGTCGCACATTCATTCCTTTGCTGCCCGTATCTTTGTGAGTAAATGGTCACAGTCTATTCCATTTATCTCCCCCAAATGTTCTGCTTTCTCTTTCAGATCTAAAACATGTATTGGACGCTCCTTTTTGGCGATTTTAAGTGTCGGCATATGTAAGGAGTGGTGATTCCCGTGGCCGCCTTCTCAAAACTTTCGTCATCTCTTCTTCTTTGTCTCTTCTGAATTTAGGTGAGCGAACCCATGTTGATGCACAGACCTGCACTTTTCATGTCTTCATCTTTCTCTCTTCTACTTATTTATTTAGAGGTCAGTTGGAGGGTTTTTGATGACCTCTATAACAGTGACCATTTCCCCATCCTCGTATCCTTTTCTTTCCACCCTCCCCCTCACCTTTCCTAAGTTGCGGTTAGAATCTATTCATCCTCCAAGCTACTCTTTCTGACCTGTCTGATCTGCCTCTCCCTCGAGCTCTCCTCCTTCAAGCCCTCCTCCTCCTTCATGACGCCATATTCGACGCTGCCCTCCGCTCTGTTCCCCACCACCTCGCCAGGCACAGGAAGTGACTTTCCTGCTGGAATTTGGAACGTGCTCGGGCTGTAAGCGTGCAGCCTGGAAAACACACCAGCGCCGACACATATCATTCTTTATTTTGTTTTGGGAGGCGAGTGCAGTGGCCCATAGGGCTGGAAATCTTGTGTTTCCACCCCTTACAGTTGACGCCGCTCTCCCTCAGATCTGGAAGACAATCTGCAAAATAGCGGGTAAGTTTGTTCCAGGTATTTTACCCATCCTTCACTTCCATGGTTCTGTCGTAGCGGATCTTGTGTCGGTCGCAAATGAACTGGATTCTCACTTTTGGACTGTTGGCTCCGGTTCTCATCTTCCTCCCAAGTTTCTTGCTCGTGAGCTCCTTATTGAATCTCGTCCCTTAGACTTTCGCACCCATATAGCGCACCCAGCCCTATAATGATCCCTTGTCTCTTATCAGAACTCCGGTCTGCCCTGACCTGCAGTTCTTCAGCGGCCGGTGCAGACAGCATTCATTATGAGATGAGTCATCATCTGTCTCCTTGCGCCTTTCAGTGTTTGCTGAATATTTACAACCGTATTTAGGAGTCATCAGTCTCAGAGGACTGGCTTCAGGTGGTTGTTCTTACTATATTGAAACCCAGCACTCGTGGGACGTCCCCTAAGGATTTCCACCCCATTGCCCTGACGAGTTACATCTGCAAACTATTTGAACGTATGGTCAATGTACGTCTGATGTGGTTCCTAGAACAATTTCGTCAACTATCCCCTTCTCAATTTGTCTTTCACAAGTGTCGCAGCACGACTGATGTTTTGGTGGATGTGGAGGTCTATATTTATCTTACCTTTGCTGCGAAGACTTCCATTGTTGCTGTTCTTTTTGACCTGGAAAAGGCTTCGACACTACCTGGAGATATATTCTATCCCAACTCTGATCTTTTGGCATTCTGTTCTATGTTTTGGAATCAGTTACTCAGAACAAAAAGTTCCAAGTAGCACGGGCTATGGTGAGCCTGTAGTGAACTTACCTGGCACAGGAGCGGGGCTATAACTAGCTTTTTGGCCTTCATGGCAATCTCCCTTTCTTCCTTAAATGCTTCCTCTCTAGTCGTTCATTAAAGTGAGCCTTGGTAGCACTTCCTCCGACTCTTTTTCAACAATATGAAGGTGTTTCCCGAGGTAGTGTTCTGAATATTACTCTTGTCCTGGTTGCCTTCAATGGTCTTCCTTGCTGCATTTTCCTTCCTTCTGGCACTTTCTCGGCCATTTATATGACGATCTCATCCTCTGCTGTCGGAGTGATGCTTCAACTTGAGATTGCTACCGTGTCGTCCTGTGACACCAGTCATGTTTCAAATTCTCTTTGACCAAGACCTGTGCTATGACTTACTCGTAAGGTCATTCTTCGTCCCCCTTTGTCGCTCTATGGTAGTCCCCTTCTGTGTAAAGATTCTGCTAAACTTTTGGGATTAATCTTTGACACTTGTTTGTCTTGGTCTCCCCATGTGTCTTACCTCTGAGTTGAATGCTCTAAAGCCCTTACCTTAAAGTCTTGTCCCATACTTCCTGGGGAACTGATAGACGCACGATCTTCTATTTGCAGTGTTCCCTTGTGCTATCTAAACTGTATTATGTATGCCCTGCCTTCTCCTCTGCCTCTCATTCGGTCCTTCACCGTCTTGATGCTCTGCACCATGCTGGGTTGTGCCTCAGCTCTGGTGCCTTTTGTTTGCCCCCTATCCAGAGCTGTATGTTGACAGGGACATCTTGTCGCTCCAGGATCATCGAGATCGTTACTGCCTTCGTTACATTGCGAGGTCTCTGCAACATCCTCATTCTCGCGTTTGCCGTGCCTTGGCTATTGCCCCTCCAGTGGGCCCAGTTACCCCTCCAGTCCGGTGGGCCCTGTTGCCCCTCCAGTCGGCCCTGTGGCCCCTCAGGTCAAGTGGGCCCAGTTGCCCTTCCGGTCCAGTGGGCCCTGTTGCCTTTCACCACCTGTCATTTTCTGTTCGCATGTCTCGCTTACAAGCCTCCCTTTTTCTGTTCGCATGTCTTGCTTACATGCCTCCCTTTCAGTTTGTGTTGGCAATGTCTCTCCTCGTGTAGTTGCATCCTTACCTCTCTGGCGGGTCCCACTTGTGAAGTTTTGCAAGGCTTTGACTCATGTGATAGAGACTTCTACCCATTCTCTTGTTCTGAAACGCCTTTTCCTTGAACATTTTTCTTTGCACTCACATTATGTTGCCCTCTTAACGGATAGGTCCAAGTCTGCCGACGGTGTTGAATACTCTGTGGCCTTTCCAGATCAAACCTGTATATGCCGCCTACCTCCGGAGGCTGAACTATATGCCCTTCTGGTGCTACATAGCCTTCCCGGCTTGGTGCCTTCTTTGATAATTTCTTACTTGTATTTCTTACTTGTATGCCCTTCGTCGATTGCGTTTCTGTCGTCAGCGCTCCTTTGTCATAGTGGTTAACTCGCAGTGCTCTCATGACTTTGGAATCATTTAACCCTATACATCCTGTGGCAGTAGAAATCCAATAATGGTTGTTTCTCATCTCTAGCAGATTTAAGGAGGTTTAGTGTTGCTGGGTTCCCAGCCATATTAGTATTTCCTTAAATGAGTGTGCAGACACTGCCGCTAAGGAGGCAATCCGCACTTGTCCTATAAATATATTGTTTCTGTTATTTAGATTTATATAGTCACAAAGAAAATGGAGGAGAGGGATGTAGTGGTAAAGATGGTTGAGATGTTTAGGTGGGTGGATGAGTAATGCACCTGTAGGTGGGTGGATGAGTAACGCACCTGTAGGTGGGTGGATGAGTAACGCACCTGTAGGTGGGTGGATGAGTAACGCACCTGTAGGTGGGTGGATGAGTAACGCACCTGTAGGTGGGTGGATGAGTAACGCACCTGTAGGTGGGTGGATGAGTAACGCACCTGTAGGTGGGTGGATGAGTAACGCACCTGTAGGTGGGTGGATGAGTAACGCACCTGTAGGTGGGTGGATGAGTAACGCACCTGTAGGTGGGTGGATGAGTAACGCACCTGTAGGTGGGTGGATGAGTAACGCACCTGTAGGCGGAGAGAAGACGGTCCAGTGGGTGTCTCACTATGATCATCTTCCTGGCCTTGGACAATATGCCTTGTCGTTCCTTGGGGTTCTTTGTCAAGGTATAAATCTGGCGGGCGCGGGCGTGGAGGCTTCCCTCTACCTCTTCCTGGCCCGCCAGCAGCAGCAAGTTCTTCACCCAAGTTGTTGATGCTGACTGAAACACCAAAATGTTTATACATTAACCAGATGGCACTTAGGTACACAGTGTTGGTATACAGTATCCAGGTAACACTTAGATACACAGTGTTAGCATACAGCCTTCATTGTCCATATATTGTTTTAAAACAGTTTACGGCTGTTATCAATGTTGAATCAAGGTCGATCAATGTTAGCGATGTTGAACGTTGATTGAATCTTCCCTCCCATTCTCCATCCCTTCCATTTAAAGGGAGGGAGGAGGGAGCAATGGAAAAACAGGAGGGAGGGAGGGGAGAGTGAGACAGATACCCAAGCAATGCCAGATATCCCCGTCTATCTATAAAAGTGTGTCTGACCGTTTGTTAGTCCCTGGAAGGTTGGAAGCCAGCCAGGGTGGTCGAGGGCAGCCACTATGTCACCCTTGAAGGGGACTCAGCTGATAGTTCATATCCACACCTTCACCAAGTTGGTGGATAAGATATGTGAAACTGTAAAGTTTTCCATTCATTTAAACATTAGTATATTCAGATATTGACACTAACAATGAATTTTCAGATTAAAGGTTTGTATTCTTGGCACAACCTTTCTCGTTACAGTGATGTGCAGAAGGGTGTGTGGGGGTAGGGAGGATGAAAGGGTGTGTATAAAAAGGGAGGGTGTGGAGAGAAGATGGGAAGGTGTGGAGGGTGTGTGGGAAGGAGAATACCTCCCAGTAATATGTTCTTACCATGCTGTTACCATGACAATGCAACACTGTCATGGTAACAGCACAGGATGCTGGAGGTGATAACAAATCAGTATTAGGCCCACCTAAGACGTCGTGCAAGGAAGGTCTACGATTGGCCTTGGGACGTCACTCTCCGACTAGTGGCCTCTGAGACAACATCTCATCTTTTGCTCTGCACCACTGATCGATCTCGCCTACTTGATAATGTGCCAGTAGAACTGACTCAATATCCCAACAGAGGTGTTGTCCAGTGGGACAACACTTCTGTTGTCCCACTGACTCCACAGGACAACACCAAACTCAATATGTTGAGTTTAATCCGGCTGTAATATTTAATAATTTAATAATTTGTTGTAAAATTTAATAATTAAATCCGGCATTTAATAATAATGTTGAGTTTGTACGGCTTTAATCAGGCCGAAACGTTCACTTTCTTTCACATTTCTCTGTGGATTTTCCGCATAAAAATGATCAGTGTTTTGTGATCGTCAATTGCATATATATATATATATATATATTATGTGTGTGTGTGTACATACACGGGACCGTGTATGTATTCATACATACACGGGACCAAAGAGCCAGAGCTCAACCCCCGCAAGCACAACTAGGTGAGTACATACACAAACATTCTTAACAGGAGGACGGGCTGCCGGAAACTAGTTTCAAGTTCTCACAGAAATATCATAGCCTAGTGTTTGAGTTTCTGTCATTTAACTAAGAAATAAATGGAAATGTGCAGAGACAATAGAGGCGGCCATACTGGTGGTGCGGGCGGGCAGGGCACGCCAGCACGAGCCACACACACACCACACCAGGGAGATTGCACCGTTATTTCTACACCCTGGCACAAGATGCAGTCCAGAGGCATTACGCGGGCAGACGTTCCTCCGTGCGGTAATTAGCTTGTTCTTCACTGCGTTGGTACATCAGCTAATTGAACTTTATGGTGCGGGACAAAAAGAAAAAGAGCTGAAGCTCAACGCCTGCGAGCACAATTAGTTGAGTATTATTAGGTAGCTTATCTCTACTATCACATTTCACACAAAATTAATATAATTTATTGTAAGAGAATATTATAAATGTGGAAAATTATTGGGTTACCTTAAATATGGGGCACCAGACGATGTTGTAGTCTGGGAGGGAGAAGAGGTTGTAGTAGACGGGTGAGAGGTTGGGGATGAGCGGGCGGCCATGTTGGGTCTGGAACTGCTGGCAGGCCGCTTCCAGCACCCTCCTCCGCTCAGACATGACAGCCGCCACGCGTCCACACTCTTCCTCTGTCTGGACCCAATACAACTGATATTAGTTTCATACTCACCTAGTTGTACTTGTGGGGCTTGAGCTTCGGCTCTTTGCTCAATTAAACTGCCCTCAGCTGTCATTTAATAAAAATAATAATAATAATAATAATAATTTATTTATAAGAAGGTACAATGGGTTGGTAAGATCTCATTAGATTAGGATTGGGATTTTTACATTCATGCAAAGTCACTAACACGCATAGTGTTACGGGCAGGTCCTGAATCTTAATTAAACTGGTGTACCGGTTCCTGAGCCTATTGGGCTTTCATATCTACATTTGAAACTGTGTATGGAGTCTACCTAATGAATTCCATACTAATGCAGTGACCACATCACTGCCTAATGCATTCCATTAAAATTTAACTAGTCTGACACTGAAATACTTTCCAGTGTCTCTGTGGCTCATTTGGGTACTCAGTTTCCGCATGTATCTCCTCCTTCGTATTCCGTCCATGCTTAATAGTTTGTCTTTCTCCACCCTGTCAATTACTCTGAGAATTATGTATGTGGTGATCATGTCTCCCTGAAGTCTACTGTCTTCCAGGGACGTGAGGTTTAATTCCCTTAGCCTATCCTCGTAACTCGTACCTCTCACCTCTGGGACTAGGCTGGTGGCATACCTCTGAATCTTTTCTTTGTCTTATGTTTAGGTATGGACTCCAGGATGGAGCTGCATACTCCAGGATTGGTCTGACATATGATATACAAGGTTCTGAATGATTCCATACACAAAAGGCAGTTCTTGCCTTTATGTTGGCCAATCTAGCATATGCCGCTGATGATATTCTTTTGATGTGGGCCTCTGGAGACATGTTCGGTGTGATATCAACCCCCAGATCTTTCTCTCTACTTGACTCTTGAAGAATTTCACCTCCCAGATAGTACCTTGTGTTCAGCCTCCTGCTCCCTTTTCCTAATTTCATTACTTTACGCTTACCTGAGTTGAACTTTAGTAGCCATTTTCTAGACCATTCCTCTAATTTGTCCAGGTCGTCCTGTAGTCTCTGCCTCTTCATCTGTCTTGATTCTTCTCATAATTTTAGCATTATCAGCAAACGTTGAGAGGAACGAGTCTATACCTTCCGGAAGATTGTTTACATATATCAGAAACAGGATGGGTCAAAGTACAGATTCCTGTGGGACTCCGCTGGTGACATCTCTTCACTCTGATGTTTCCCCCCTAACAGTTATTCGCTGTTTCCTGTTGCTTTAATACTCCCTTATCCACTGGAGCACTTTACCTTTTACTCCTGCCTGTTTCTCAAACTTTTGTAACAGCCTCTTATGGGGTACTGTGTCAAAGTCTAACAGTCTAAACAATGTCTAACAGTTTCTGACAGTCTAAAAAAATGCAATCTGCCCACCCTTCTCTTTCTTGCTTATTTTTTGCCGCCTGGTCATAGAATTCTATTAAACATGTGAGGCAGGATTTACCATCCCAGATCCCATGCTGGTGGTGCGTTACAAAGCTATTTCCCTCCAGATGCTCTACAAATCTCTTCCACACGATCTTCTCCATCACCTTGCATGGTATACAAGTTAGGAAACTGGGCTGTGGTTCAGTGCCTCTTGTCTGTCACTTATTTTGTATATTAGGACTACATTAGCAGTCTTCCAGCTTTCCGGTAGGTATCCTGTTTCCCAGGACCTGTTACACACCATAGAGAGTGGCACACTTAGTGCTTCTGCACCCTCTTTTAGTATCCATGGTGAGATTCTGTCAGCCCAACAGCCTTTGTCACATTCAGCTAAAACCAATTCCTTTTGACCTCATGACTGGTGAGCTCAAAGTCCTCCAAGGTTGCTTGGTTTACTGCCTCCTCTCTTAGTACAGGGACACCAAATATGTTATGTCTATCATCAGGCAGGAACAATGGTCGCCTCCCTGTCCTTCCTCGAGGGTGACCTCCCTGTCCTTCCTCGAGGGTGACCTCCCTGTCCCTTCCTCGAGGGTGGCCCCATTACACCTTCCTCGAAAAATGGAGAGAGAGAGAGAGAGAGAGAGAGAGAGAGAGAGAGAGAGAGAGAGAGAGAGAGAGAGAGTGAGAGTGTGAGTGTGTGTGTTGCCTGGATCAATATATTCCAAATTGTTCAGTATTTCGACGAGGTCAGCAATATCATGTGTGGTTAGCAGTGTTGCTAGCCCTGAGGCCCTCAACTGTTCCTGGTATGAGAGTTGACTTAGTTCTGGGATGATATTATTTCCCAGTGTTGAACTTTCTGGAAAACATTTGTCTTCGTGAAGATGAGGTCTCCATGCATGATACAATAATGCAAGTGGGGGCGCACCAGAGATTTATACAGTTGAATAACTACCTTCTTTTCCTTGAAGTCAAAGTTTCATTTATGCGTATGCAGGTCATCAGTGGCAGTAGTTATCAGTAATGACATCATAGTATTTTGTCGGAGTAGGGGCCAAATAGATCATGGAAGGTGGGAGCAGTTTGGGAGTGGTGCAGGTTCTAGTGCGATTATGGCGCCGTGCTCCCCCAGGAAGGAATTATAACAGTGGTGGAATCACTTCAGGGGAAGAGTCGGTCACCAGTGGGGATTTGGGAAACGTCTTAGGCAAGGAAATAGCCGGGGTGTGGAGAGGATGGGAAGGGTGTGTTGAAGGTGCACCCGGGTCTGGACCCAACCCTGCTGGAGACATGGAGCGTAATCTTCCATCAAGGTCCGACTCAGGGGCCGTGGCTGCCCACCCCACCAGCCTCATATAAAAGAAACATAAACTGTAGTTCAAACACAGCCCCGCTCCTGTGCCAGGTAAGTCCGCTATGGGCTCACCATAGCCCTTTTTGTTCTTTTTTGTTTTTGTTTTTGAACTTTTTGTTCCAAGTAGCGAATCTTAAGCAACAACAACAACAACAGTTCAAACCACGGGCTACTCATGCTCGTGCCACCTCTTGGGTGGCTTAATCTTTATCAATCAATCCATCAGTTCAAACTCCCCATTAGACTGGTTGACTGTGGCCAGCCCGGCCGACTGTCCTGCTGACTCCCGTGACACTCGCCTAGCTGTGAACACCGTGTGTGACCCATCAACACACCGGTCTGACCAGCCTTATGGTCTTGGTTTGGTGGGTCCACAGACTCCATCCCCGGATCTACAGTATCAGCTGTTGATACTGATAATGACTCCAAAGAGCTTTCACTTCCGGGCTCACCATAGCCCGTGCTACATAGAAATTTTGTTCCAGTAGCTGAATCAAAAACAACAACAGTTCAACCACATTCAGTTACAGCCCCGCCCCCAGCCTCAGGCCCCAGTTACAGGGGCCTAAGGTCCTTTAATCCGGTTCATCCAGTAGTTGTCGAGATCCAGCATTGGCTGTTTCTCGTTCACAGTTAATTTAAGTCGGTTGAGTTTTGTTGGGTTCCCAGCCATATTGGTGTGTCTTTAAATGAGCGTGCGGATGCTGCCGCCAAGGAAGCTGTCCGCTCTTGTCCCATCTCTCGTAAAGGCATTCCGTATTCCGACTTTTACCCGGTTATCCATTCCTCAGTCCTTACCCGTTGGCAGGCTTCTTGGTTGTCTGTTACTGGTAACAAGCTACGTACTCTTAAATGTTGTGTTTCCTCATGGCCGTCCTCCTTCCACCGTAACCGGCGGTGGGAAACAGCTCTGGCGAGGTTGCGTATTGGCCATACTCGCTTAACCCATGGTCACTTGATGGAGCGCCGCCCTGCTCCTTATTGTCCTAGTTGCATTGTCCCTCTTACGGTCGTGCATGTCCTTCTTGAATGTCCTGACTTCCAGGACGAGCGTGTGTCTTGCTTTCCGACCGCCCCTCGCGGTCACCTGTCCCTCGATAGAATTCTTGGTGACTCGGATACTTTTGATATCGTTCACCTTATGCGTTTTTGTTCTCGTATTGGCATCCTTGGTGATATTTAGCGCCCTCTGATTATTTTGAGTATTTGATGGTGCTACATAGCCTTCCCGGTTTGGTGCCTTCTTTTGATAATTACTTACTTACAGGGGCCTAATAGCTGAGTGGATAACGCTTCGGATTCGTAGTCCTGAGGTTCCGGGTTCGAACCCCGGTGGAGGCAGAAACTAATGGGCAGTTTCTTTCACCCTGATTCTTCTGTTCATCTAGCAGTAAATAGGTACCTGGGAGCTAGACAGCTGCTACGGGATGTTTCCTGGGGATGGGTAACAAAAAGGAGGCCTGGTCGAGGACCGGGCCGCGGGGACGCTAAGCCCCGAAATCAACTCAAGGTAATCTCAAGATAACCCCGCTCCTATGTCAGGTAAGTCTACTACGGGCTTACTGAATCTAAAACAGCAGCAGCAGTTCATCGGGATCACTGTAGCCCGTGCTACATGAAAATTGTTTTTCGAGTAGATGAATCTAAAACAACGACAACTGCAGTTCACTGCCCTCCACCTACAGCTCAACCCGTCCTCGCCGTCCTCGCATACAAAGATCCAAGCTCGTTAATCCAGCCGCCAAACCCCCTCTGTTTATGAATGAAAAACGGTTTACACACGACTCACAACTGGTGACGTCCGAACACTTCCGGAACAGGTGCTTCGCTCACGTCCTCACGTCCTCGTCCTCCGGAGGACGTCCTCCGTGTGAGGAGGACGGCCGCTGCTTTAATCAGCCTAGTGTGAGGACTGGTTGCACTCACCATGAAGCCCAACAAGGCTGTGTACAAAAACAGAGAGGTATGGAGGAGAGCCAGGTGTGGTAGTAGCCTGGCAGGTATGGAGGAGTGCCCGGTGTGGGAGTGGTAGCCTGGCAGGTATGGAGGAGTGGCAGGTGAGGGAGTGGGAGCCTGGCGGAAGAGGAGACGGTGGTGGTAATGCCTGGGGCAGTAACGGGACCTTCACCCCGCTGGCCCACATCCACCAAGGCGCTCGGTCACTTAGGGTCTCCACTGTGTCGACGCCCTAGCCACACGCGGCGAACACACACATTTGTATGGGTCGTGTGACAACCTCAGTAGACTCGTAGATGACAATTTTTTTTTTTTTTTTTTTTTTTTTTGAGATATATACAAGAGTTGTTACATTCTTGTACAGCCACTAGTAAGCGTAGCGTTTCGGGCAAGTCCTTAATCCTATGGTCCCTGG